TCCCTTTGGGATCAATAAAGAAAGTAGCACGTTTCGGTAACTTAACAATGAGTGTCCCGTGAAAGACTCGCTCCTGCCACGTGATTGTGAATGCACAACACGGCCTGGTTGCCAATAGATACGAGTTCTGTTCCACACGTTTGAACAGGAAGACACTGGTTTCATCGGCATGAATCTGGTTGTAAATCACCAGCGAAACGTTCTACTGAAATGGTAAATGTTGTGGGTTTACTCTCCAACACACCGATGTGGTGAATACGGCAACTCATTGCCACGTTTTATTTACGCGACAAACCTTACTATTGCCTGGCGGTGGGTTAACGACACGTTTATATTTACGCGATATATTTTTTTAAATTATAAATGCAATCCAATGTGAACATTGTGCTTTTATTTGCATAAGCACTGAGCAGGTAAAACGGTGTAGCCCTGAAATGGCTTGCTCAACACCACTGCGCTGTTGTTAAACCTTTCCCCGTTCCTCTTATCAGCGCAGTTGGCTACATACGATGGGTGGGCAAGAAATTAAACATACATACTGCTGGTGAAAGGGCTTCCACCAGAGGGAACCCCAGAAAGCCCTTCCACGAGGTACTTGACTTACTCTGCCACACTGGCCAATCGTCTGGGAAGGAGGCAGTACCCATACTTTACCCCACTGCACACTACCTGCCGATCAACTAACCACGATGTATCCACGTATACTGCTGGGTGGATAGAGGTGGGGGGAGAGAACGAACGTACCTTAGCATGTTCTGGTGTTATAATTACTGCCACTTTAATACAGAGATTAACATTAATCTATGTATAGGAAATCCTCAACGCAACTTCAAGGCTCATTTTTTTTAGCTCGGGTTCAGTTTCCAATGTTTGGGCAAATAATATTGTATTAGTTAATTACTAATTTATTGCATGTTGGGGGAAACAGGCGTACCTGGATAAAGCACACACGTATGAAGATAATTCTCAATGACAGCACAACATACATGCAAGCGCAGGAAAAGAGAAGACTTAAAACCGGGAGGAAATCCGTATGGGAAGAGGATCTGTTGAGCCCGATACTTGCACCAAGCAATGCGCTCTGTGGAATCGTTTTACCCGTTTTGGGACTGGCAAGATGAGGTCATTTGTATTGCAAGGCAACTGTGCTTTAATATCAACACACCCATCCTTAAATTAAGTTCACCGTTGAATGAAAAAAACCCCAAAAGTGTATTTACATGGCGTCTAAATGTGACCGCATCTTGAAACTCTGTAGAAAAAGAATCGTTCTTAGATTCACCAAGGTTAGTCTATTTGACAAGTGTTCTTACCCTCTAATATGGGAACTATCTCATTCGGCCATAAACCTAACGAGCCGTGCTGCCCATTAACATTACGTTTTCACCACTGGCCCAGCTAACAGTTTGATTCCTGATACATTAACACTATTATAATCATCATAATCATCAATCTGGCCAGGTGGTTAAGTGGCAGAGCACTCAACTTACGATAAGAATATCGTTAGTTTCACCGTAATCATTCCCACTTATCACCATGAGGTTGATAATACGAGTTACACTTGTGTGAAATCAATGGAAAGAATAAAAAGACTCGCACCCAGCATCGAAATGTGGAATTTCCACCATTGGCTAAGAAACACCAACTGACAAGAGGACTGCCAATTAATTATTTGCGTAAATATATTCTTTGAATATATTTGTCCAGGAAAGCCCGAGGCTCAATTCTCCTTTTCAAGAAATGCCCTGCTTGGCCTTTTTGGGCAATTCCTTAACTACAGGGTGAAAATAAAACATAATAAAATAATTCTCACGACGTTTCGGCCACAACGCAAGCAGCCGTCCTCAGGTAAAGACCAGGTCTGTCGGGGAGACAGCGTCTGAAAGAAACACCACCACGCTTGGAGCGTCTATTTAAGCTGGGTTGGAAGGGGGGAAGGGCGCCTTAGATGCCGCGACTCTAAGGCGCCCTTCCCCCCTTCCAACCCAGCTTAAATAGTCGCTACAAGCCTGGAGTGTGTCATTCAGACTGTCTTCTCGACAGACCTGGTCTTCACCTGAGGACGGCTGCTTGCGTTGTGGCCGAAACGTGAGAATTATTTTATTATGTTTTATTCTTATTGTTTTATTATTTCCCTTCTACGTGACTTTACCGAAAGAACCAAGAAGATGAATCCCTGCAGTCACGAAAGCTTTAAATCGAAATTTAAGTACAGGGTGATCCATTTCACATGTACAATTGTGTGTGCATATCTACATATTACACTAAAACAATAGGAAAATAGAGCAAACAAACATTGATTTCAAATCTTAAGTCTCCCACCAATCTCAAATCATTTAATTACATGCTTTACACTTGCCTGTGTATGAAATTGAGCCATCGCTTTCATAATATGCAATCCCTGTTGAGAAGAACTTAAGATGGTCAATAGAAATCAGTGGGGTATCTATAAAGGGATCACCATGCAATCGTCTGTTGGCGAAGAGCAGAGTACAAGAAGAAGAGCCACACACACGAGAACATAAAATTATAATAGTAGGTTTTTACCCTTTTAACTGGTACAAAACTGACACCTTTATTCAAGGCATCATGTTTGCAATGACCACAACACAAGTAGTCAAAAAAGCAAACAAAAAGAAGAAACTCTGATAAGGATGATAATATGCACTGTCCTTGAAGTTGATTGGCCCACACCCGAGACGGCTTTCTTTAGAGCCTAGTCCCCATTGGTGTAGGGCCTGGTGTCATCTGGTCCTACACCAATGGGGACTAGGCTCTAAAGAAAGCCGTCTCGGGTGTGGGCCAATCAACTTCAAGGACAGTGCATATTATCATCCTTATCAGAGTTTCTTCTTTTTGTTTGCTTTTTTGACTACTTGTGTTGTGGTCATTGCAAACATGATGCCTTGAATAAAGGTGTCAGTTTTGTACCAGTTAAAAGGGTAAAAACCTACTATTATATTTTGCCACTGGTAAAAGAGATCTCATAGTGTAAATAACATAAAATTAAATTAACATTTATAGGTTGGTGGGCGATCTACTTTCTGTTCTGCCTTTTATACGACATATTGATAGCCTAGCAGGGTTTTCGTTTTGTTTGGCTCATAAATAATCGTGGCTCAGTGACCAATAGGATATAAAACTGCCTGCATTGTAACAATTCTGACCAAAGGTAGCTTTCTATCTCCATGAATTCCTGAACATTACTGCTCAGGAGTAAATACATTTCAGGTGAGGTGAAGTATTTGAAACATGAACAGTGTTGGCTGTAAATTTTGGAAAATTGCAAAAAAATCAAGTTATAATGCCCAAGCCGGCTACAGTCAACCCTAGATTATCTGGTGTGGTCTGGGTAAAAAGGCCAAACGCACAGCATGCAAAACGGATGTCAATTAGGGAATATAAATGTATTCATGGCTTATTTATACAGAATAAGGGCGAGGAAGAGATTTATATCTATCTTTGTTTACTATTCGGTCCGATATTGTTCTCGCTGTCAACAACCTAGTTAAAATCTCTAATCCACTCAGAAATAAAAACACCAATTTGTTGATGACAGCTCTCATGGTCTTGAACAAATCTCTGCACGGTCTTTACTCCAATCTTAATAAGTATAACCCGTAAAAACAAAGTTTTTCCACTATAAATCCTTTATATGCGTGGCGGCTAGAGTCCTCTCGTCCTCTGGCTTGAGATGGCTGCCACCTATGGGTCAGATGATTGTCTGCCAGTATTAAGCAATTGGTAATTAAATATTTAATTTGTTTTCCCTAAACAGTGTAAAATTTTGGAAAAAAATTCACGAACATTAATTGTCTCGCACAACGAGTCTGTGTGCAAAATGTCAGCTCGATTGGATCACGGGAAGTGGGTTAAAAAACGACCGAAAGATTTGCACGGTCGTAAGCAAGCAAGCAAGCAGGCCAACTTAATATAAAGGATTTAAAAAGGATTTTTATTCCCTGCCATTAGACTTGTCCTCAATGCAAATAAAATATTAATATTGGTTTCGGATCAACACAAGCCTGCCCCCCTTCTCCACTTCAAGTCGTGGCTATGAACTCTCTGAAAATAGAAGTCGTTGACAATTTAAAAAATCTAGGCCTTATCCTAGATTCCAAAATCTCTTTCCAGGTTCTTATAGAACATTTTGTATCTTTGTAAAACTTCTTTTGCACCACACGTAGCTAACCTTGCAAGGCCACCCCACAGAGACGATCACCCCTCTCTGTACCTGTGTTGCTCGGTCTATGTATCTTGGTGATATCTGTCTGCTTGTATGTCTGTCTATAGTTTTCTGGTTAGATTTTATCTCGCTATTTCATTATACCTGATGACGATTGCTTGTGTTGCAATCGAAACGTCGTATGCTATTATTAAATTTATTATTTTATCTTTATACGTGACTTTACCGAAAGAACCAAAGAATAATTCCTGCAGTCACGAAAGCTCCAAAATTAAGGAAGAAAAATACAAATTGGTTTCCTCTGCAGATACAACCATTGTATTCTCCTCCATCTCAGATTGGACACTGTCAAAGCTACCATTCTCCAAAATTTTGACTACTGTGATGCCATCTACAAACTTGCCTCAAAGACTCTTGGTCCCCATAAACCGTTCAGTCCTTCATTTTGCGTTTGATGCCCCGTACACAACACACCACTGCCGACCTGTTACTTAAAACGCAACTTCCCTTGATACTCAGAGGCAGCGATATTGGGCTTCATTCATCCTCAAAATACTCCAAAAAACTCAGGCTAATTACAATCCGTGACCGCCTCTCACCACAGTCCTCATCACGTTGTCTTAGAAGCACCTCTCTATCTCTCCTTAATATACCCAGAGTGAGATCGAGCTGCAGTGAAAAAATCATTACCTTACTTTTGGAATTAACTCGCTTCACGGTTTCGGTTTACATCCCTCCCTTCCCTGGCCTTATAACATTCCTTCTTAGATTGAACATTTATCCATTTTCTTGCACACGCTGTTAGCGAACCGCACACGATTCGGTGTTTTATTTCTGTGTTATCTGCCAGTGTTCCTTGAGTGGTGCATTACTTGCATGTTATCCTAGATTGTGTTTGTTACTCAGTAGTCTGCAATGTTATGATTTAGATGCTCGAAATTCCTTAATTTCTACAAGGTCTTGTCCTGGTCATTCTTGTCAAACAGCTTGATGTTTCTTACCTGCATAAACAAATAAAAAAGTAATCGGTTCACTTGTCAACATGCTTGTGTTCACGTAGGCACTTAGCCACGGATCCTTAGCTAGTGAGCAGCAGTTAATAATTAAACACAGCGCACACATAAAGGGTGAGAATGAGCATGGTTGATCTGTAACCTGGGTAATCTGCTTATAAATCATCAAGAGCTAACCTATTAGGCAAGTAATGATTAACTCTCATCATAATTTCATGAATTGTCACAATTCGTGGTCAAGATTGAATATTATTCAACTTTTTTAATGTTTTGTCTGGACCGTATATCTATTTTGTTCTGTATGCTCTGGACCCTCTCAAAAATAATCTTACACGCATGAGTCTATGAACGTATCGCTGAACGTATTACACGTGCGTGTGAGCTGTGTTGCTATTCGCTAGTGCGTATAAAAAATGACTAAGCTGGCAATCCAGTCTCCTAACAATAAAATATAGTTTTAGTCTAAACAGAATGCCAGGATAAAACCTCCAATGCGCGTGAAAGGAAAACTCCTAAAGACTCGATTGTAAAGGAAGCCTGTGAAAAACTGCTTGCTGTACTGCCTTAATACAGGCAGTACCTTCACTAGGTCAGAAAACCATTTACTGCACTGTCCATGAAGGCATCACCACCAGTGATAAGCGGGTGGGCATCACATCCCTTGCAGATCGTCACCATCAGCGCCAAGACTTTCAATGCTTGCGCTAGATTCAGGGAGCATTACACTAAACTAAAACCTGTATTTGCCGAACAGTTAAATGAAGGTGTGCACCAACGCCAGCTACCATCGCATCCTTGTGGCACGTAAGACGAGATGACTGACATCGCGCACAGCTGATGGGCTAGGGTTACGGTTAGAGTTATGGTCAGAGATATAACTGGGATACTAGGTAAAAGGTTAGGATAAGGGTCTGAGTCAGGATAAGAGTAAAGGTTTGATGCCAGAGTTAAAACTCTCACCATAGTAATGCAGAGTTTTCACTACTGACTCTGAGTTTTACACAGAGCACCAATTCCTAAAATAGAGCACCAATGCAAAGTGGTTAAAGTAAAGAGGGTCTCGGTCATATTCTTTTGGGCATAAGGCCAGGGTTTGGGTGGAAGTTAGAATGAAAGCAGGAATAGGTTAGGTTAAAGGCTATGGTAAGGATTAGGATTTGCATCAATAATGATTTGTATTCATAGGGTGCTTAAATGCCTCAGCATCTCAAATCGACTTACACCACATTATGGTATGGTCTGGAATCAATCCACAACCTTAGTGTCAAGCAAAGGTTGTGTTTATTTTTGGGGTCACTGTTAGATTCACTGTCCGTCTTAACCCTATACTGTAGTTACACCGCTCAATTCACAATACTCTTTTTGTGAGTTCATATCACCCATTGGGGGCCAACTCAACCCATCATCTCTCCAGGGCTAATAAAACAAGTACTACTAACTGGGACATTAACAGCGGTAATCCTATGGAGCAAAATGCACCATCCATAGGAATGTAGAATTTTTACCACTGTATAGATGCCACCAGTGGAGCTAAGCACCACCTACTACTTCTTTGTGCAGTAAGATCCTTTCACTCAACTTTCGTCTCTCCTCTCACATTCCCTCCTATGCCTACAGCAAAATTAAAACACAGTCCATCATAATCAAGGCTTTTCACATCTAACCCAATGCCACCCCATCCCATTCCCCCCTCACCCCCATCTACCACTGTCACATGTGCACACGACGATGCCTCTTGAGCGTGTATGCCAGCAGGAACTCCTTTCCACACTCGTGGCACTTGTAAAGCTTCTCGGTGTGGATGCGCTTGTGGCGCGACAGCCCACTCGAGTGCGTGAAGCCCTCGCCGCACAGCTGGCACACGAAGGGCTTGCGGATCACAACGCCCGGCGCTCCGAGCGGCGGTGGCAGCAACAGTGGTGACGTCAGCTTCTCTGGTGGGAGGTGGCCACCCCCTCTCGTCACCTCTCCTCCTCCGCCTGCTGCTGCTCCGCCATCGGGAGCTGACCACCGGCTGGCGAAGGCCTCTTTGACCGACGGAGCGAACGGCCGAATGCTGCCACCACTGCTTCCGCTACCACTACCACCGCCACTGTCCAGTCCGCCTCCCGCAGCTGAGCTCTTCATGAGCTGGATCACGTACATGTACTGCTGATGCATGGCCTCCGGGCCTGACAGGGGCGGCCGTGTCAGGGCGGCTGTGGAAGTGGTGGCAGAGAGGACGACGGCCCAGGCAGTGTAGTCATGGGTAGTGGAGACCTTGAGAGGGGCGGAGGAGGCCTCAGTAGCAAGGCTTCATCTCCTTCAGCATCGTCAGCACTGCCGTGGCCATCCTCCTTGGTGATGCACATCGTGTCCACGCCCTCATCGCCGCGTACTGCAGGGTTTAGGGAGAGACGCACAGAGTGTGGGATAGAAACCCGTAAACCGATTCTAGTATGGCGTAGTTATTTATTTAAACCATGGTTGGAGATACCTTTTCCTTATCGAGGGTTGAGTAGAACTTTCAAATACCTTTCGCTAGACACGTATTAAGACACCTTCAGTTACTTCTGTGACTGCAAGAGGCTCGTGCAGTGAGAGATGTGACCGAGTGTACTAAAATTATAAATTTAAGGTTGCCAGGTCAAAAATGTTCTCCTCTCGTGTCTGATTGGAATGACCAAGATCTTTACGGATTGTTTCAAAGTGGTAAGCCTCATGTGGTCGGGTGGCCATTGCAAATTAAGTTGTGTTGCGGATACAGCCTGCGAGCCATAGGTTATACATGCATGTTTCAGGATAGACATTTATACAAGAGACCCTTGAATATCGAAGGGGGTTGCATTCTTGGAAAGTCCTGTGAAAGCCGAACTGCGATATTCAATACCGAAGCCTCACCTAAATAATGGGGGTTAGGTACACAGCAACCAAAAATAGACAACATTTCAAATGAAATAAGTACTGTAATGTATGTCAAATAAACTAAAAACAAAATTGAAATACGTAAAATCCCTGTACAAAAAACATTAATAGACAATAAATAGGGGTATAAATACTGGATACTGTACTTAACGGGTGCGTTTGTGCGCGAGTGGGGAGTGGTGCTGCTATGGTTAGGCGCACTGCACTACGAACCCAGCAACCCGAGTTCGATTCCCGCTCTTGTCTAACACCATTGACAATTATCTGAATTGGTCCTGGGCCTCCCCTCAGTCGAGTCTTGTCTGCAAGATGCTTGTACGGCAACGGTTGAAGTGCCACCGACTTGTCGCGTCCCTCGTCCGCCTCGCCACATCGTATTAGCCAATGACACAGTACCTCCGGATACAATATATAAGTGAAAAGCCACAACTAACCCCCACAACAGCTAAATTGGTATACAAAGAGGTTGCTCACGATAGGTCGAAACTTGCGAACGATAAACCCGTGATATTTAAGTATCTCCTGTATACACATTTGCAAAAACACCACTGTTAAGCAAGCGGCACACATTGGCAGGCAACACATTTCTAGGTTCGTGAGCTTCTCGCACCGACGTACAATTGACGTAACATCTTAACAAGCAGCACTTGCTTCCAGGATCACCTGTGTAGTCATCATTGATGACGGTGCCAAATTCTGCTGGGTCCCACACGGGTGGAAATGTCCCTTCCCCATGCAGTTCCTCCTCTTCCACCACCTCCTCCTCCACAGCTTCATCTGAGCGATAAAGACAGCATTTAACTTGGTCATTTTCAATACAGCAAGTCACTGACATCAACAGAACTTTATACTATAGTTTTGTTTAAATTCAACCCCTATTATGAGAATTATAGTGCCGCTAGTTATGAACAGACAGACATAACTATCGCATCAACTATTTCAACCTTCGTTGCAAAGGTTTAATGACGTATTTTATGTATTTTATTTATCCAGGAAAGCTTAAATGGGTCTGAATAATCCATTTCTCTCCCATTTGCATTTAAGCAGAGTTTTTATGAGGGAGGACACTGGAGTAGCCAGAGAAAACCCACGATGCATATGATGGATAACACTCAAAGGTCCACACAGATTCATCATTACAGTTATTATTGCCAAGTACTTCCAAGGACCAACATATGTTGGAAAGCCATTAAAGAGTCCACGCATATGCATGATATTTCGTCCGTGTTTTAGTTTGGATGAGCCAGTTGGTTTTAGGATCAGCAGATGCCAGCATGCTTCAACATGAGAAATGCCGAGCACATCTTTGGCCACTGATAAAGTGGACTGCCACAGCGGGAACAGATAGAACTCTGGTTCTATCCCAGCCTGGTTCAGGCACTTGTTTCTCCGAGTTGTGATGTAATTGAGGCATTAGATGCCGCAGAGCTAAACTCCACAATCGATCGTGGGCCGTGGGCTCACACCTTTGCAGTCCTCAGTCTTGATCCTCACGGCGTTGTCCTCGTAAGGTATGGGCGACACAAACCCGTCGAGCCTCACACCCCCATCACTATCTACACGGAGATGGAAATGGCAACAGTATGAACATCAACAGCAGCAGAAGTGTCGTCAACAGAAGCACAAATAGAAAGCAGCAGTGGCAACAGGAAAATCAGCAGCAACAACATGAACTGTACCAGAAGCTTTGACAGCAGCAAGCAATATATAATCAAAATTGGAGGGGCAACAGAGCAGAACCATCTATGAAGTCTAGGTTCAAGAGGTGGATAATTCCTGCATCAAATCCATTAGCCAGCCACTCTGTGATAAATGTTTAAAGCCCTGGGGATGGGTCTCTCTTTCAAGTGCAGACAATGGCAGGGCACAACGCCAGCACACCTGGAGGACCTTAGCTCTTATCCCAGTCTCACACACCCATTATTCCAGCACCCAATCCCCCCACATTGAGTGCCTCCCCTCACCTGGGCTGGCCGCGTCTCCATTGTATCCAGTCGCCAGTGCTCCACTGTTGGCCTAGCGTGGGGTCCAGGGCACTGAACTTGTGTGCCGACTGCAGCAGCTCCTGGCTCAGGCTGCTGAGCGTGGCCACGATGATGGCAAGCAGCCCCCTCAGGCCCACGCCGGCCTCTTGCTCGGCGCGGGCCTGCGGGAGAGCGGGCACGCATGCCTTGATGACGCGGCGCAGTGCAGCATAGAGTGCAAAGGGCAGCCGGCACCGAGCCATCGCAAACAGCTCCAGCGTGACCTGCGGGATGGGGAGGTTGGGGTTAGGGTTCAGGTCGGTGTGACTGCTGTCATACCTATTTTTATTTTTTATCTTACCAGGTGAGGCCCATTGAGCCATATAGCTCTTTTTAGAAGCGACCTGGCCACAAATTATAGCTCAACGAAGTGGCTTATCACGTGGAAATTTATAGCAACCAAATATTTAAATGCATGTTGATTATAAATGTAGAGGGAAAAACCAGACGACCAGAGAAAAATCCAGGCGACCATGGGGAGAGGGACACCGCAAACGCCAAATATACAGGCGTCATGGTCAGGATGGAACCCACGACCTCCTGCATACCAGGTTAGGGAGTTAATGCGGCACCACATCTGGGGTTGAACACCTAGTTCCTAGCTCACTGTATTTGAGAGAATTCAGCGTAAAGCCGTCAGGTTTATTTAAGATCCAGCACTCACCCATTCACCCCAGTCACTCACTCACTGGCGGTCACTCGCGTTCTTATCACACTTCTGACGCTGCTACCATGGTCAATGTTTTCGTGCAATTGATTCTTCCATGTTGATGATGCCATCTACCAGACCGTATTATCTCATCCAGCATTAAACCCCTATACTACATGTCTAAACACTTCTCTTCCTGCTTCTACCCTCGCACTACTAAACCTAGGAATGAACTTTTTTTTATAACCTTCCTCAATTCAAGAAACACGTTAACTCATTGATTACAACTGCAATGGTTTGTTTTGCCAGCCGCTGGATGCGTTGCTCAGCAACTGTTTAAAAAAAACAAAACAGGGCCGGTGAGCAGGGTGAGCGTTGTGGCGAGGGCCCGTGCCCACTAGGCAAGACTAGGTAAACTGGAGAAGGCATATATTTAAGAATAGATTAGGTGGTGTGCTGGGTATGTAAATATTTGTTGACCTGGACTAATTCAGCTGAAATTAACGTACTAACTATATTATGATGTAAACAATGCCGCCGCCATCTTCCATTATCCAGCGATGCAAAATCCCACCCAGCAACATCACACGAGCTGATTCAATCGCTCCATATCCACGATGAACATACTGTCAGGCCTGTTCTCTTCTTTGGTCACCACTCCATAGTTAGTGAAGAAAACCGGCCATCATCGTGTCCCTTGCAAGCCCACTTACTTTTCTAAACAGCCAATATGATGTATCTAACGTGCACATATATTCTCATATCCTGGGTGGTGTAATACGGTGAAACAGCTCCTATCACCCAAACGGCGTAGGGAGGCCATCAAGATTGGCAAGGGACTGTTGATGTATATTAAATTAAGATAATAAGCTAGGCCTGACTAATCATATCCAATCACAGACAACTCTAACAAAGAGATCACAAATCTGCTTCTGAGGTCTCTTCAATTGCCTCTAATCCAGATTAGTTGTTGATTCACTTTTCACATGCCCTGCTATAGAGTTCGTCATGGCCAGGAATTGAACTTAAGTGAAGAGGTTCATAGCAATGTTCTCACCACTGCATCACTAGTTCACTCCACTGAATGCACAAAGGATCAACTAATTGCCGAGGCCATGGCTTCTTCAATCCAGGTTTAAGCCACCTGTGATATAACCACAGCATTGCCTGCCTCCCTGGGTTACCTGCTCGTCCTCGGCACATGCCATGAGGTCATCATAGTCCCCAATGCCGAACTCTCGCTCCACGGCTTCGGCAAAGCAGGGCGCCTTGACTCCGTGTGCGCCCAGCCACGCTGCGAAGTCAGACCGGGGATCCGGCAGCTCCACCGCAACGCACGCCATCACTGCGCAAGAACGATAAAATTTACAATTACAATGTGGATTGATCAAATCCAAGCATTAGTACATTTGGTATTTCCAGCATTAGTATTTTGCGAGGATATCCTAAAGGCGCTTTGTTTTACAAGAGAAGGCGATTAGCATGGTTGGCTACGTATGGTGCAAAAGACGTTTATATATACGTGGAATTCAAATCGAGCTTTTTTGTAGGTAAATGTTTAAATTTGGACCATGACGTGGTGCACTATGGGCCTATTCTTTTTGGGTGATGTCATGGGATCTTTAATGTCTGGCGCGCAGCAGGCAGCAGGTATTTTACGGTTCATTCACCCACAGTATTAACATATCGGCCCAATGGATTTTAACTGCTAACCCCTTACAAAAGAGGTGAACACGCAACTTGCTGGGCCATGTTATCGCAATATGTTTTGGTATATCTAATTTATGTAGCATCTACATGCGACCCCATTTGAATACACTGTTAGAAATGTTTGGAATTATTATTTTGTCGACAGTCATGGATACACAATATTATATAGGGCCTCAGTGATGTATATAGAGTTCCACTCAGATGAAATGACAATTTTAACGTATTTAAAGGCATTGCCCAAAAACAGTTGGAATATTTATATTGTAGTGAGAACAAGGCAGTCAGTCATAGGGATCCATACAACTATATAAAACCCATAAATGTGCATCTCTGCCAATTCGGGATCATAAAAAAAAATGTGCATGGACAGCACACCTACATAAAGTACAATACAATGTGAATTTACATTTGCTCTACACATTTCAAGACGCTATAGAGAAAGAGTGGGCATGTTTACACTTATATAAAAAAGACAATCCCTTGTAGGCGTACTCTTAGGTTTTTTTCGGTAAAATCATTATTTATTTCTATAATTATTAATATTATTTATATTATTTTATTAGTTATTTTTACCTACGTGACTTCACCGAAAAAACCTAAGAGTATGAATCCTTGCAGTCACGAAAGCTTCAAATCTAGAACCCTTGTAGGCGGTGTGGCGGCCCTCACACACTGATGATGTCTTGCAGGAGAGAAAGTGCCACCCAACACCCCTTAATATTAGTGAACACTGCTCTTGATATTGGACTTGAACAGGGTCAGGGAGTTAACAGCACGAATGACTTGGGGGAGGGGGGGGTTGTTACAGAGTACGATGCCAGCATAAGAGAATGTGCACCCACACAGAGCTACGGTTGACTGGAAGTTGGATGGGTGTTGTGGTAGTTTTGATGTCGGTGAGGGGTGAAATAGCTTTGTTCACTGTCGTATTTGTCTGAAATCCGTGCGAGTGGCGTGACATTGACTCGTGACTGCGATGTTGTGTGGCGGCCGGGTGGGTGCTGCTGTTGTTGTGGTTGCGTGGTAGTGCTGTCGGTTGTGTGCTTGTGTGTGTGTAGAGAGCTACGTTCTCTGTATTGTATAGTAATAATTGTGATTACTGGCAACGCACGGGCGAGATTCGTCCCCCGAGTTTGGCGGCTGAGGCTGAGTCGGCGTCGTCGTCGCGGGGTCTTGGAAGTGAAGCGACCGGCCCCCGAGACGACGTCGTCCTCGTCGTCCTCCCTTGTCCCGGCCCCGCTCGCCTGGCCCGAAACGTCGGCCTCGTCGTCCTCACCGCCCGGGCGAGGTAATTAGGGAATTGAGTTGGGAACGTTTAACGAGCGGCGTTCAAAACAGCGCGACCACGAACCCACTCCCTCCCACTCTCTCTCTCTCTCTGTCTCTTCCCCTCACCGTACAACAACAATAATAATGATAATAATGTAATGTCTCTCTCTCTCTCCCCACACACACAACCACGGCAGAAGGAGGCGAGATCCGCGCTTTGGCCGTGGCTGATGATGCCGTGGGGCGGTGGGGAGGGGAGAGAACGGAGTAAAGGGGCGGCCATCTTGGTCAGGGTGAGTTCAACGGGGGGCGGGGTGTGCACAGGGGGGCCATCTTGGTCAGGGTGAGTTCAACGGGGGGGGGGGGGGGGTGAGCACAGGAGGGGCGGGGTGGGGACAGGGGGGCGGGGTGTGCACAGGGGGCCATCTTGGTCAGGGTGAGTTCAACGGGGGGCGGGGTGAGGACAGGGGGGCGGGGTGTGCACAGGGGGCCATCTTGGTCAGGGTGAGTTCAACGGGGGGCGGGTTGTGCACAGGGGGCCATGTTGGTCAGGGTGAGTTCAACGGGGGGTGGGGACAGGGGAGGGCGGGGTGGGGACAGGGGGGGGGGCTGCATGACACGTGAATCCACGGTACCCATACTTGTAGATTTGAAGCTTTCGTGACTGCAAGGATTCATATTCTTGGGTTTTTTCGGTAAATTCACGTAGGTAAAAAATTTACTTGATACAGCGAGCGTGCTGTGACGGTTCCACCTGAAGACGGAGGCTTGTGTTGCTTCCGAAACGTCGTGATTTTTTTTATTTATTTTACTTTTATTAATTAAAAATTTTTACCTACGTGACTTTACCGAAAAAACCCAAGAATAGGTACCCATACTGTTTGGTTCTTTCGGTAAAGTCACGTGGGTATAAAATAAAACAAAATAAAATAAACCACGACGTTCCGGGCGCAACGCAAGCGTCCGTCATCAGGTGGGACAACCACAGCAAGAAACAATTGCTAAAGTGGGCAAAAGGGCTGCTGTAACAAGAGGACATATAGGTAAGAGAGAAGGGGGGGAGGAGCCAGGGAGGAGAGATAGAGAGGGGGGGTAGGGGGAGTGGAGCGCTGCCGAATGAAGAGCAGCTAGAAGGGATTAAAGGGCGAGCAACGACAAGTCGTTGGGGGAATGGGCAGGGCTGGTAGTGGGAGGTTGAAGAGAAACAGGAGATGCGGATATGAAGGCAACACCATAAAGCATTTCAGGTTTTACCTGGTTAATAACATCCTTCCAATGATTGCTCAATTTGTATCCATCTTCTCGGTTGAAGTTATGTCTATGTTTACATATCTGGATGGCTTCATGAACAAACCTTTGATAGTAGCCCGAAGGTTTGCAGAGCAGCTTGGTCTCGGGAAAAAACAATATGAGAGCCCAAAGCGTTATAGCAATGGTCAGCCAAAGCGGAGGTATTAGTTCTGCCGTGTTTCAGATCTGACTTGTGCTCGCGAACACGGTCCGAGACATGTCGTTTCGTTTCCCCAATGTAACAATCACCGCAGGTGCATTTTAGTTTGTAGACTCCAGGATATTGCATGTCAGGAATGACATCCTTCACAGATGGCATCCTTCCACGGTACCCGTACCAGCGGAATCAATTATTTTTTATTGAAGGAATCCGATTAGCTATAAAGCTCTTTTCCCCCTCACAGATGCCAAGTTGGGGGGCACGTTACGACAACAAACGATACAATAATACGATAGGAGTGCAAAGTATATGGAAGGTAAATACATTATTTAAATTTTATTTTTTTAAAGCGACATGGCCACATGATAGCTCAACAAAGTGGCTTACCGTGAGAAAATGTATAGCAAGAAAATAATGTCAATAACCTCCCCCACCCTGTAAGGAGTCCCATTACCAATTTATGTTTATTTTTTGGGTTAGATCGCGCAAATATAAATGTGTTAACCCACCACCATCCGACACAACCAATTCGTAAAGTTTGTCACTTAAAAAAAAGTGCCTATTGTTACTACTTCAGCACACCGGTAGTGTTGTAAACCCAATTTGGTTTACTCTCCAACACACTGGGTGGTGGTGGGTGAACGACACATTCATATGTACGCGATCTAACCCAGAAAACCCTTTAATATGAATATTGTTGGTTGTGAAATTCTGTTAAAATTCCCTTACCAAGATATCCCGCCCATAGGCTCGTCCTGAGTACTGCTGTTGGATTAAACCGTAGCCAATCAGCGAAAGGGTTGTGCTTATGAGGACCGTACAAGAGGTAGTGCTATAAAGAGGTGCCATTGGCCCGAAACGCCTCCTCAACAGTTATTGTTCCTATTTTTGGGTCTTTCGGTAAAGTCACATAGATGGTTCAAGAAAATAACAAAAAACTACGACGTTTCGATCACAACACAAGCGATCGTCATCGGCCTTAAAATTAACAATAACTTGACTTAAAGCTTTCGTGACTGCAAGAATTAATATTCCTTGGGTCTTTCGGTAAAGTGACGTACAGTCCCTTTAAGAGTGTGCTCCTAATCTCAGCTCGTTACCTGTATAAAATACACCTGGGAGCCAGAAATCTTTCATGATTGAGAGGGGGACAAATACTTATTTCCCTCATTAAAATGCAAATCAATTTATAACATTTTTGACATGCGTTTTTCTGGATGTTTTTGTTGTTATTCTGTCTCTCACTGTTAAAATAAACCTACCATTACAATTATAGACTGATCATTTCTTTGTCAGTGGGCAAACGTACAAAATCAGCAGGGCATCAAATACTTTTTTCCCTCACTGTACAACCGCTTTGGAATACGTCGAATTTGGTATACGTCGTGTTTTGACGAGGAAAAAATGTCTTGGGATACGACGTGCTTGCTCGAACTTGTCTGGGTCGGGATGAGTCACCGTGTACCCACGTGTACCCCGTTCACGACTGAAACAAAGCGCCGCTCCTCAGTCTGCCTGGACAGTAGATCTCATTCAGTGCACAACCCTTGCTATAACTCTCCGTGAATTTTCACGTGTTTTTTAAAATAATTTTAACGTGAATTTTTTTGCGAATTCATTCAACTCCTCTCAGTAAGGTAAAATTACGTAAAATTGTATTTTTATTTCAATTTGTTTCAATTTTTTTATAATTAACGTATGCATTTTAGTAATAAATAGTGTCTAAATTATTTTATATAACCCCATTAATGTATAATATGCCATATAAAATATCATTTCTTATACTCTGGAACGGATTATTTCCTTTCCCTTTATTTCTTATGGGAAAAATTCGTTTGGTATACGTCATTTTCGGTATAAGTCCTACCTTCTGGAACGAATTAACGACGTATACCGAGGTACCACTGTAGATGGTTCAAAGAAAATAACAAAAAAATACGTTTCGATCACATCACAAGCGATTGTCATCGAAACGTCGTATTTTTGTGTTACTTTTTTTGAACGACTTTACCAAAAGACCCAAAGAATATGAATTCCTGCAGTCACGAAAGCTTTAAGTCAAGGTATTGTTCCTTTTAAGAGTAATGTGTTGGAGGTTTTTTTGTTATGTGTTAAATGTGCTTGTGCGCTACTGCCAAAGCAGCGTCACCACATTTCCTGAAATGTATTTATTATTAACCATATCACCTTTTGCTATACCCTCATTGTACCACTCATAACCCTTGTAAAGCGCCTTGGATAATGGTGCTATATACATATAAGATGTTATTATCTTCTTGGTTCTTTCGGTAAAGTCACGGAGAAGGGAAGTAATAAAATAATAAAAATAAAACATAATAAAACAATTCTCACGACGTTTCGGCCACAACGCAAGCAGCCGTCCTCAGGTGAAAACCAGGTCTGTCGAGGCGACAGCGTCTGAATGAAACAGCACACGTGCTTGGAGCATATATATAAGCTGGGTTGGAAGGAGGGAAAAAGGGCGCCTTGACAAAAGAATATGCATATCAAGAGGAATTTAGCATATTTATGGGAAATGCAGGTATGTGATTAGTACTACTTATGCCCGTGCATTATGCAGGATTAGCAGCATCAAAGGGAAGGGATATGGGAAATGCAGGTATGTGATTATTACTACTTATGCCCGTGCGTTATGCAGGATTATCAGCATCAAAGGGAGGGGATATGGGATTACGATACTATATATTACTTTGCACTGGCATTGTATTCTCCGCAGGGAATGGATTCTTTGCTCCGCTGCAAGTTTCCTTCCACTACTCACCCATTGACATATTTCGTTGCTTCCTCTTAGTATCTTTCACACGATGGTCAATGGTACAATGTATAATAACAAATAGTATAACATTTATATGCTTAATACAATGTACAAAGTAATATATAGTATCGTAATTGTATAGTCAATATACAGCAGTGTGATATACATTAGGGTGGGTAGAATAATACACAGTATAATATTACAATGTATAAGGTATAGGGTGGTTTATAGCAATACAGTATATAATTTAATGTTGGGTTTGTCTATGGTAGTATATAGTACGGTGTAGACTCGTGTGATGTAAGAGAATAAAGTTTAGATGGAAGCATATTATATATTTTTTACGACGTAGAATTGTAATGTATTACTTACTGTTAGTAACTCAGCTTATTGTAGAGTATATTTAGTATACTGATGATACTATGTAGTTTATACTTTAGTTGTTTACGTGGTGGTTTTAGTTACTGCAGCTACATACTATTAACACTCCTTCCCTTCATTAATGCTACCCCTATCCCCCTCCCTTTGATGCTGCTAATCCTGCATAATGCACTGGCATAAGTAGTACTATTCACATACCTGCATTTCCCATATCCCCTCCCTTTGATGCTGCTAATCCTGCATAATGCACGGGCATAAGTAGTACTAATCACATACCTGCATTTCCCATAAATATGCTAAATTCCTCTTGATATGCATATTCTTTTGTCAAGGCGCCCTTTTCCCCCCTTCCAACCCAGCTTATATATATGCTCCAAGCACGTGTGCTGTTTCATTCAGACGCTGTCGCCTCGACAGACCTGGTTTTCACCTGAGGACGGCTGCTTGCGTTGTGGCCGAAACGTCGTGAGAATTGTTTTATTATGTTTTATTTTTATTATTTTATTACTTCCCTTCTACGTGACTTTACCGAAAGAACCAAGAAGATGAATCCCTGCAGCCACGAAAGCTTTAAATCGAAATGTTCTGGGTAAATGCAGATAAACGTTTGAAAAATCAAAAGATAGGCGCACAATTGGCTGCGCTGGATGTTCTAAATCCCAGGGCATAAAAAGGGGGAACCCGAAACGGTTCAGGACTCTTCTGATCTCCAGCCGCTCGGTGACCCATACCGACTCCTTGCCTCTTCGAGCCGCTCGCAGCATCCGTGAGACGCCAGCGAGTGCCGCCACGAGACAAGCGTGAGGCAATGTTCTCTCCCATCTCCATCCCTACGCCTCTCCCCGCATCCATGCAACGTCATGAGAATGGCTGCAAGGTACGTAACAGGGCGCGTAAGTGTTTGGGGGAATTGGGTAGTGAAAAGATAGCCTCTGCTCGCAGAATATTTCCACAGAGTATCAGTGCAGTGCGATTTGTGTGTGGAGCAGTTGCGTGGGCGGACGAGCAGCGAGGGCAGAGCCACAGCACGAGCGCTCGTTAAAATTGCCTGCAGGTGCGCGCGTGTTTGCGCACGCCACTGTAGCATTAGTCATAGTGCGTGCGCGGGTTTGGAGATAAACCGCCCGCAGAAGTGCGCGTTCGCGCCGCCACTATCTTGCTAGTCGTGGGATGTGCGCGTATTAAAGTATAATCATCAGTAGGGGCACGCGCGTTCACGCAGCCGCCTTCACATTGGTGGTGGTGTACGTGGGCGTGCGTGGAGTAACCCCGTGCGGCGGTGAGCCAGCGCTTTAGTCATGTCTCCGAGAGGGCGCTAGCGTGGGAGGAGCGATTACCCGATTGGTGGGGGCCCGGCGGGAGTTGAGCAATGCGGTGGAGGAGGGAGTGGAGGAGGGAGTGGAAGGGGCAGATGTCGCACCTATTCTCCATTTAACGACGATGACCATTTGAAATGTAGGTAAAATGTCAATTTTCAGAGATAACAGGGGTCAACCTTTCAAAGAAGCCATTTTTTTTGTCTTTGACCAACTGATTTCGAGAGCTGCATCACACGCAGAGCTACTTGTGCACATACATAGCAGGTATGCGGCAGATGGCAAACACATCTGACTTAAAATAGGTGATGGAATAAACAGTGTCCGTTTAGTTTTTTCCCCTCCAGAGTTATTCTTTAACAATACAGTTTGACTATATTTTGTTGTTACCAGGACAGTAATATTGCTTCTATGGGAAAGTAGAATCCAATTTACGTGGTTTATAGGGACGCATTGTAATGTAATAGTGGGGACCGCGTGTCCTACACTATATAGTGTAAAGGACCAAATACAGTCATTTCTAAGTAGAAAATAAACTGCTGTCTGCAAAGGGGCAGCCAATGAGCCGCATGCAGCTCTAAAGCCGCAGGTTGCCAACACCTGAGCTCTCCTATCCGCCAACCGATAGAACCAATCAAATCAATGTATCACCGGGGAAAATATGCTAATATTTTTTTTGCAATTTTATAACATGTTTCACTGGATCGTACATTCAGCATTATCAGGTGTTAACAGCAGCTCTGCTCAACGCAAGAGCATAACTTCTGTTAACACCTGATAATGCTGGATGTAATAACCAGTGAAAGGTCGTAAACAATTGTAGTGCTTCAATAAAGACATACACACTACGTGAGTTGAGGCGAGTCTTTTATTAACACTTCCCTTATGGGACGGGTTCTATAATTGGTATAAACGTAACTACCCCTATGTAACACTTTGTAACACTATGTAATCCCCTTACACACGAGGCTATTGAAGATCCCAACCCGACGACGTGACCCGACCCACCGAGTGTTACCCACAATGATGACCCTTTACCGTATCCACGCTGCCCTTTTATCCCCCTAGCGGGGCCTTCCCCCTGCCCTCTGGCTACGCCCTCCTTCTGGCACTCTGCAGCAGGCTCGCTCCCTTAATTACCCGAATGACGGGATGAACTGGCATCACACTACCCCCCCCCCCCCCCCCTTTACAAAAGACAGCCGACCCTGGCTGTAACCAGCCTACAATGACAACAAGAAGTACAGAACGTAATCCGGCGGTAGTAGGACTTGTCACTCCAGTGAACATGAGTCACTTTAAACGGCTGGTTTTCGAGCGTGTCCTTGTCGCTGGTCCTCCAGGGACAGGTAGAAGTGGTCCTGATGGGTTGGTCTTCTCTGGAGGACGGCAAGGATGAGGAGACATCGGAGGCAATCCGCCTCTTGCAGGAGGAGCCGGTCGCTCCGGGGTCCTTAAGCACTGGGATCCTGTGGGCAGAGAGTCCGCAGACGCCTGAGGGACAACGCCCCCTAGTTCATGGCCCCGCTCGCCGGGTGCACCTGACACACAGCCGTCTGTTAGTGGAGATGACGCGACACCGTGGGGCGGATAAAAAGGTTTGAGTCGCGACGCATGCCCGAACCAGCGCCTGCGACCGATCTGAATGTGTACACTCTGCAGGTTTGCTACCTCAATGATTGTTACGGGACCCTGCCAAGGCTTGTACAATTTTGGGGATGTACCCACCGGAACTCGGGGGCAGTGTAGCCATGCCTTATCACCCGGCTCCCATTTAGTCCCAGATTCACGGAGAGCAACCAGGCGTTCATTTGCGGCTTGCCTCCGGCCCGAATTTCCCCAAGAGGCCTCCTGAGCCTCTGACAAGCGCTTGAGGGTATGGTGCATGGGGTCGGCGAGTTTACTCTTTCCCAGGTCAGGTTCAATTGAACCTCGATGGGTGGATCATACTCCCTCCCATACATGAGAAAAAATGTCGAGAAGCTGGTGCATGCGTGCGAGGCCAATCTGTACACAGCGAGGACACTAGGAATGTGCAGGTCTCAGACTGATCTTCAGTGACCTGGTGGCACAGCATGGATGTTAGCATCCTGTGTAAGCATTCCACCATGCCATCGGTCTAAGGGTGATAAGGTGAGGTACGGACTTTTTTTGTGCCCAACAGGCAGCACAATTTCTTGAGTAATTTAGAAGATTAAATTTTTCCCTGGTCTGTGAGGCGTTCTGGGGCTCCTTTATCCAGAACGTACCCGAAATCGACACAAAAGCATAGACTCCCATTTTGCTTTTTAACAAGCACGATGGGGGGCCCCCACGAGGTGTTTGACGGGGAGATAATTTGTCAACCGCACAGCGCACATAGTCCTTCTTTCTAGGGCTTAATCTGTACAGATTTTGCCGAATGGGTGCGGAATTCTCCTGTCTCAATAAGATGGTGTAACAGAGGTGTGCAGCCAATGTCAAATTTAAATTTACTGAAAACATCGTCGAACTCTTCCAGAAGCGCACGCAATTCAAGCCTCTGTTCAGGTGCCACATCATGTTGCTCAGTCTGCCCAGCAGCTGCTTGCGATGGCTCCGTTCCCGCCAATTTCAAAATCACAAGACGCGGTCGACGCATGAGCTAAAACAGAACCCTCTTGTATGATTGATGCGACCGAACTGGTATTTAAAACCTGGATAAATGGGTCTTGATTATTTGCCACCAAGGTCTGCGCAAACAATAAGGGTTTGCCCCGAGCCGCATTGTTGGAAGGAACCAACAACATCCCTTTCTTTGAATTTTTGCTGTCAAGTTGTTTCTTTAATCGCAGGGGAATTAACATTTGTGCGCCGGGGGGGGTTTTAACGGTACGGCTGGCTATTGTCGGAACAGATGTATTTGCCGTGCGGAATACAGTTGGCAATGTTAAAAATGCCATCCGGCGAGCCGAAGGTAATTCTATGCTGCCTTGATCAATAAGGATCTTCAGCGGCATTTGGCTAAAAAATCCGTTCCCAACAGGCAAGTTACTGCGATGGAGGTGGAAACAAGCACAGGACCCGTCCAGCTGATGTCGCCGACGCACACTGTAGCCATTAACTGACCAATGATCCCTAATGACTTACCGTTCGCGGTGAAACACGGAATATTAACAGGCGAAATGGCGCGATATTTTGGCGGCAAATCGTAAATAATTTCCGAAATGATTGTCGCCGATGCACCTGTGTCCACAAGTAGGCGTACCTCAATCCCCTCAATTGTCCCTATGACAGCGGACGACCCTGCTGCCGCGGCAATAACGCGGCGACTCAAGGCGTGTAATTGTGCGGGACGCCGTGGCCACCCTGCACCCGTAACAGCTCGGCCCACCCCGACACGGTCCGACGATCCGCGACCCCCATGCATGAGGTGGGTGATTTGGCTGTGTGTGGGGTGCACCACGACTTGCCTGTGGGTCTCGATGAGAGGAGGGTCGGTTGTAGAACTGCAGCGTCGTAGGAGGTCTTGGTCGTGGAGCGTGGCAGCCGATGGAGACGTGTCCCGGCAGGCCGCATTTAAAGCACACCACCGGCCCATCGCTCTGGCGAAGAGAAGGATCCCTAGGACGTCCATGATCGTCGGCCCTCCTTCCCCTACCCCCGGAGAAGGAAGTCTAGGCTCCTTGAGATGTTCTGTCTTCCCCGACGGCTAGGATTCCAGCAGCCAAGTCAGAGCTGAAGTGTGCCTCCAGGCACCATGCGATCCTGAGCGAGGAGGACGTCATCGTTGGTCGCAGGTAGCAGGACCTGTAGTTCTTGGGCGAGCTGGAGCATCTTCTCCAGGACCAGCGAGTCCCTGCCGACCTGGTCCATTCCGGGGTAGGCTGACTTCGCCAGTGCCAGAAGCGTGCTGCGGAAGGCAAGTGGCATCTCAGTCTCTCCTCGCCTCCGCGTGGCGAACTTGTGGCACTTGTGGGACTGAGGAGCGTAGATGAGCGCCATCTGGGCAAGGGCTTGTGCCAGGAATAGCGTTGAAGGCCGCCAGACCGTCGTCGTCCAGCGCCGCCGGTAGCACACGTAGCGCCTCCTCCTCAGTCCAATTAGCTAACTTATAAGCGGCAGTAAAACGGCGTCGAAAAGCTTCCCAATCGCCGCCAGTAGCTGTGAATTCTTTGACGAAGGGCAGCCTCTTCTTGAGTGCAATATCTGTGTTCAGTGCCGTCGGCGGGTCTTGCAAATTGGCGGAAGCCGTTTCCCACCCGCTGTTCAAAATGGCGGCCGCTTGCGCGGCTTGCGTCCTTCCGGTTTCCCACGCGCGGGAAGTGGCTGCGGTTGAGGTTCCGGGACGCTGCACGGGTGTCCCCTCGTCGTCCTCCCTCTGCATTAGGGCGGCCAAAGCAGTGACGGCGGCCAGGTCTCCCATGGGAGGTCGGTCGTCTCCCCGCGTCACCGGCGTATCAGCGTGCTGCTCCATTTCCTGGTCTTGAGCAGCCCGGGTCGCTGGTGGTGGAGTACCGTCGTCATGGTTGTCCTCGTCCGACCTTGTAAATTGCTTCTTTCTTGTTAACATTGGTAGCCTACGCCCTCACCAACTATTGTAACTCCTGACACCACTTGTAGTGCTTCAATAAAGACATACACACTACATGAGTTGAGGCGAGTCTTTTATTAACACTTCCCTTACGGGACGGGTTCTGTAATTGGTGTAAACGTAACTACCCCTATGTAACACTGTATAACACTATGTAACCCCCTTACACACAAGGCTATTGAAGAGCCCAACCCGACCCACCGAGTGTTACCCACAATGACAACCCTTTACCGTATCCACGCTGCCCTATTATACCCCTAGCGGGGCCTTTCTCCGCCCTTTGGCTATGCCCTCCTTCTGGCACTCCGTAGTAGGCTCGCTCCCTTAACTACCCGAATGACGGGATATACCGGAGTTTCACTAGGCTTACTCCCCTGATTACCCGAATGACGGGATGAACCGGCATTACACAATTGTCAAACTTTTGCTTGCTTTTCAACATTCCGGGTTGCTGAAAATATTTGGCTTAATTTGCGACAACTTGATTTGTTTGGCTGTTGGATGGCAGATGGTATAGCTACACATTTTATTATACTTACATAATCTACAGTAACTCAAAAGTAACTAATTATGAGATTACCATGTTTACGTTTTATATGGAAGATACATTTTCCTTTTTGTGTAGCTTAATTTTCGGTGTTACCTTGGTTAGTTTTCGTCTGTATTTTTTTATTTACCAAGAAAATGTAACTTAATAACACACTTGCTAGAAAGTTCTGGATTCACAATCGCAAGATTGTGGGCAAAAATTCCAGTCAAGATCAACTCTTGTCTCATCACCATAATCATCAGCATCATCACCTCTATCCAAGACCGTAAAATCACCATCTTCATTGTCACTATCATTATTCTCACCTCTCAAATATCAGTAGAATCAGCAGCACTTAATCAGCCTGCAAAACTGGGCAAAGGCGAAGGCAACATCAGCTTCGGTGTTAAGGAGAGATGGGACTGACTGTAACTTGGAAATTTCAGTATGGATGTTATATCGTGGATGCTTTAAAAATGGACGGAGCCTGGCCAACGTAATGTGTACATTTTTGACTGGACCTCACCTGAACAATGCGTGACTTTTATCACTCTGTGGGAAGTCACCTGTGGATCTTATTTTGCTACGCAAAGCCAGAGTCTTACAAAAGGAACATGCAATTTCCAGCACTGCCTCTGAACCACGAGTGAAGACAAGCAATGCCCATCGGTCAAACGAGCCACAAAATCCGACTACTGTCATGTTGTGAAAAAAACATGCCAAAGAAATCCAGTTGTCAGCTGTTATCTGGAAGTTACATATCTAGACTATATACTCCAGTCTCTCTTTCTTACGTGACTTTCAACCTTTGTGAATGAAAACATTTAATTGAAAATCAGTGACGCGACTTCCAAGCTTTGACATGCCTCTAGTGATATCACTGTGGCATAACTGCCACACCTTTGAATATAAGTGCATTGTGGAAGCTGGCTCTACTGAACCAATGTAAGTTGGTATATGCACGCGCCAGTAAACTTCAAACCAGCAATAGCGGCGCCAGACAAAATGTCAGGCATTGAATTCACAGCTTTTCGCACACGGGGGCATGTCATTTAGATCACTGTATCACCGTGGGTCGATGTTATTTTGTCAACAGCATAAACTAGCAACCAAGCACATGTTTAATTTGTTTTACTGCATCATTAATCACATGATCTGTGTTCAATAGGTCAATCGTGCTTGTGCTTCTTCTTCTGTCATGAATTCCTGCAGACGAGCAGACATTGTAGGGGAGCAGCAAGTTGTCAAAGGTTCATGTCATAATTCTTTATCCAATCCAGGGCCTCTGGGGTGAGGTTGTGGATGGCTTCTATACCTCCTCCATTTTGAGGGTCCATTGTGTTCTCTGGAGAATGTGAGCACCAATGGTGTCTGCTGTGACTCCTGGGGTTTGGGAGGCTGTTGATTTTGCAGTACCAAGAGTGCGGAGCAGGTTCCAGGCCTTGCGGCTGGAATCTGTGAAGTTGAGGCCCTCTGCTGTACCACACCGCTCTTGGCGTCTAGCCTCATTTAATAAGTCAAGCAGAGCTTGATCAATGACAGGGTCATTGTTCTGCTCGTATTGCTTTGAAATTTTTACTTTCTTTGGTGCAACACGGAATGTATAACAGAAACCTGTATGCCGATTGCTGGCTCATTGGAAATACGGCATACTGTCCGTGTGGCACGCACTGGGAGTCCGTTATTGTCGAAACTCACGAAGCGGAGGTCTAGAGTGTACGATCGCCATGCTGGCGCTGCGCCATCGTCTGCAACGGCGGTGGCACCGTCGTTGGTAGCTGTTGCATCATTTATATGTGGTCGTGCGTACGCTGGTGCCTCTTCCAGCTGGAGCGGTAGGCAAATCCACGGCCGCACACGTCGCATCGGTGCGGGCGCTCGCCCGTGTGGGTCCGCCGGTGCACCTTGAGGTTCGAGTGCAGCGAAAAGGCACGGCCGCACACATCACAGCTGAAGGGTTGTTCGCCCGTGTGCGTGCGCATGTGGAACACCAGCGCCTCGTAACGGGATAAGCGCCGGCCACACTGCGCGCATTCGAAGCGCCGTTCCCCGCCCCTGCCGGCTCCGACACCGCCGATGCCAACGCCACCACCAACGCCGATAATTCCGTCACCGGGCTCCCGGCTGCGTCGTCTAGCGGCTGCGGTGATGACGGCTGCGCGCCAGCTGGCGGGGAGCCGTGGGCTTGCGGTGGTGCTATTTGCGGCACAATCGGTGTTAACCCGGTTTTCGCCCATCACCTGATGCTGCGGTTCCTGCTGCTGTTGCCGCCATTGGCGGTCGAATTGGTTGGGATGAGGCACAAGCGATTCTGCTGGTGTGTGTCTGTCATCCTTGACATAGCCTGGGGGGGTTTTGTCCAACAGTTTACCTAGAGGAGAAGGTGACAGGGACAGTGTTAATTTTCCTGACTTTTGAGCCCTAAACCGAGAAGCACGAGCATAGACATGTTTATATTTTTACGCTATTCACAAGACACAGAACCATCTCTGAAAATAAATTACACCGATCATGATATGGTGATACTTGAAATATATACAAGTTACCTGTTTGGATAATATGTTTTTATATTCTGTGTAGGAGGTTGTCATGCACATTCTGCCTTTTTATGGGCCACAGGAGAGTGAAGACAGGTTGAGTGCACGTATAAACGATCCAGGGAATTGTGTAGCTACATGGCTTTGCCGCTTTTTAAGATAGGACTTGGTGTTACTATAAGAATGACCATCCCTCTGAAAATGTATTCTTGGGAGAAGTTAATTCCTATCAATGTGTCAACCACACTTTCATCAATCTCGGATTCTCAGTGAAAAACGCTTTATTTATGTGCATAAACATCACCCCTTAACTTCCATTGGCTGTCCCATCAACATTCATTGCAATCATTATAATTTTTGGATACTAGAATTATGAGATAAAGTATTGCACTTTTCTTACTAAGACATATTACTAATATGGAATCGTTGGCTTAACTGCTAATGAGACAGGCAATTTGGGTTTAAGGGGCAGAGGTTTAAGCCTTATGTATAAACAGCCCTTTTACCAATCTACTGGTGGATGAGGGTCTCCTCAGGGTCATCAGTTATTAAACTACAGTCTGTTCTCCTATAACGTGTGTTTTCATGACGTGAATTGGATTTAATGCGATAAATGTATTAGGGAACACATTTTTTATAACGCGGATGCGAATTGGATTTCATGCGATTGGGCGAACAGAACTACGTCGCGCGAGGAGGAATAAGCCGTTGTATGGCGGAGCATCACAAGGCGGGATGCTGCTGGTCGCTACTAGAGTTCAAATAAAAAGTGATTCTGCTTATTTATTAAAATTTCTAATCAACGTCCAAAAATAAAAATATATTGTCACAACTAAAACATTGGTTTTAGTTGGCCATACTGCATTGTAACATATTTACATTCATAGTTGATGACAACCGTTTAATTCAAACTTCAAGATCCGACCATGTCCGTTCAGTGCTCGCCGAGCTGCATTGGCTTCCGGTTGCTGAACGAATACATTCTGAGGTTGCACTCATTACACACAAAGTGCTTGCCACAAATGAACTACAATACCTTGCGGATATTGTCAAGGAGCATAAACCATCATTCGAACTTCGGTCATGCTTGCAGCGGCTTTTGTCAATAGTGCTCACCATTGGAACCTCATTTGCCAGTAGCAAACTATGATAATTGTTTTTTTACCCTTTTTTCTGGCAACAAAACTGACACCTTTTTTTACAAGGAGTAATGTTTGCATAGACCACAATACCTGCAGTCGGAATACACACAAAAAACATAACTCTGATAAGGTATGCACTGTCCTTGAAATTGATTGGTCCACACCCGAGACAGCTTTTCTTAGAGCCTAGTCTCACATGGTGCCAAAAGGCACACAACTCAATGACAATGCACCATCAGAGTATGAGAGCTCGGGGAAGCATTTACACCAATGGAACCTCATTTGCCAGTAGCAAACTATGATAATTGGGTTTTTACCCTTTTATCAATAGTGCTGTTTGTTGCTGGTCGTTTGGCATTTTGGACCTGTGATTATCAACCATGATTTTAAAATAAACTCACAGAGACACGCAGGCTCTGTTACGATGAGGTCACAGGCCCATTTTTACAAAAGTTATGAAAACATGTTGGCCCTGATATGGTTGTGGCTTTGCTGGATCACGCCCAATCTTGAATTATATTTATACATCAATCTGGCCCTTGCCTGCAAGCTGGGATCCGCTGTTTGCTGCTGTCCCTGCTGCCACTGAGTGGTGGGCCTCCGTGTCCTCCCAGCGTAGGCGGCCGCTCCCCTCTCCTCCCAGCACTGGCCTCGACTCCTCCCCTGAGACACGGGCAGAGGCAACAACTGAGACAACGGCACCCGCTGTCCCCGAACTCCCACTCCTGACCTTTGACATCAACATCCCCCTTCACCACCAAGAATGTAAAGTTAAAGGGGCAGCCCTCCCAACTACTTGACCACTGCCAGCAGACAGCTCCTCCAGAGGGTATATTGACCTACTCTTCCACAATGGACAAATGTGTTATGCTTTAGCCCACCATACACAACTTGCTGATCGACTGTTGTGTAACCATCTACATGACTGCATAGCTTTGGGTTGAAACTGATGAGCTCTGATTGCAAGTCAAGTGCAAAACACTACACAAGGCAGAATGCACCAAGAATGCATGTTTGCTCGAACATACAGGGTGATTCCACTTTGGTGCTAATTTGATCCAGATTTCTCTTCAAATGGTGAGAAGATATCTCGATGGACTCACATGTATATGTATAAAAGCAGTTGTCAATACGCTGTAGCATGAGGGCCTTTATCACAGGTAACCTGGTGCCTTAGAGATCAGAGTATTGAGTTGGCACTGTCAAGATCCTGCATTCCAATTTGGATTTCGGCCGCCCATGATTAATCAGCCACACATTATCACACACACACTTTAGTCACTTCTGTCAATGCATGAGGACATAAAAGCGTGGTGACATAAGGAACAAAACTTTTTCCAGGTTGAAAATAGTTTGTTCCAGAACCAAATTAGTGTGGCTAAGATGCTGATGGTGACAATATTGTTTTTGGGTAATTTAAATGTTTTAGGCCTTATATGGCCTTGGGCCGCATAAACTTAAGTTGCGGGCTGGGTCGTAGGTTCCTCATCCCTTACCCAAATGAAGATGTAAGATAAACACCGAAACTCTGCACGCATGCTTGTCAACAAACGCCTTTATAAAACAGTACCTTCAAACGTCTCCAGTTTGATGTTGTGAGCCACGCCATTGGGGCTGTTCCCGTCAAGAGCTGTGGTTGGGTTCTGCCGAGGTTCCTCTGCCAAAAATCACGACAGTCAAAACACACTTAGCCCATGGGGAATCCAGAGACTGATCAAAAAATAAAAAGTTGATTCCTGAATTTTAATGAGTTGATGACCTCAGCCTGTTTAACACGTAGGCTTTCGTGACCAATATTATTCATAATCAACGTTTTTGGGTTTAGATCGCGTTATTTATAAATGTGTCGTAACCCTCCACCACCCGACACGGCCAATCAGTAAAAAAGTGTCACGTTGACAAAAGACAAATAGTTCACTGCTTTAGCCCAGCCTGGTCACCAATGAGAAAAACAAATCCCAGAACATTGGTTTAAGAGGTGGCTGGGTCGCTCAGAGGTCAGAGTGCCAAGCTGGCATTGCTGAGATCCTGGGTTCGAATTCAAGTCTCAGACTGCTGTGATTAAACGGGGTTCTTGTGTATAGTTAGTTGATGGTTTCAGCCTGGCTACCAACAACTGCACAATACACCCACAACATTCAATTTGTTTCTTCGTATTATTTGACTAAATTCCAGCTTTGAGAATAAAAATATCCTTTTGTGTGTCATGCGATGAACGTTACTCTCTGCAGCAGGGCACGTGAGTGTTGCCCACTAATACGTTGGCCAGAGGTCACTTGAAGGGATGATAGAGGTAAGCTCTGTGATTTCCGCTTCTGTGGGCCATTCTCTAACAAGGGTTGTATTTCTCTGTGAGAATAAGGGAGAAATGTTCATAAAATACCACGGAGTCAGACATACTCAAGACGACCTAACTTTTTAATCCATGCTGGGATGGTGATGGTGAATTCAGTTTTGTATATGTGTGAAACCATTGGCTTATTCCATGAGCATTTTTTTTCTTAACCTACAATTATCTTCAAAATGACACTACGTACAAATAGGAATGTACGATTAGGATTACTAAATTATCACTGCGAAGTCTGCTACTTGTGGTATTGCCCGTCTGGTGAAAATGTTAGAAAATGTAAAAATATTCTGTCGCGCCATACCGGACAGGTGATTGTAGTAGTGTTCATCGTAGTCTTCCATATGTGTTGGCGAGCGGTGTTCAGCGTTGGCAAACACTGTGGTGGCCTCTAAAGCAATAACACAAAATCCATTTGAACATTAGACGCGCAATGGATTCTGAAAACAGATTCTTATGCTCATGGGGTAAAGCGTGGGTTGTACTCCCACTTCTTCAAAGACGTCCATTTGCCCAGCGGGTAACATAGACCAAACACCCCCAAGCAGGAATCTCTAGGAGTTCACTCTGGTGAAGGCCTGTCCACCAGCAGTGGTCTGAGCAATTGCAGGCCAGCACCTTGAGTCCTTCACCTTATGCTCATGATATATCTATCCATCTGTGTGTAATAATTGACCATTTTAGATCCAGATATATTTACAGTACTGTACCACTATACTGTACATTCTACTAATTTATACCAGTATGATACACACACTGAAAGTTGTGACTCTGAACTGACAACTGAGGGGTTTCCAGGAAACAAAACCCACAAAATCTTGTTTTTCAGAAAACATTTTTTAGTTGAGTTGGTAAATAAACTGGATGAACAAAAATTCGTAATTCATTCTCCGGCCATCTGTGTGTAATAAAAGGACTCCGTCACACGATGCTGATCTCCGTCAGTCCTTTATTTGTGTTCGTCTTCCGCTCACCCTGCTGGCCTCCTCCTCGGTCCGGCGTCATCTCTCCTTGCGCCCCGCGCACTCTGCAGCTACCCTGCTGCTCCGCTCTGCAGCTACTCTGCTGCTGGTCCAACCTCGCACCCCCTGCTAGTCCTCCGCTAGCTCTGCAGCTACTCTGCTGCTCCGTGCAACCTCGCACGCCCTGTGCGCTCCGCGCACTCTGCTCTCTCCTCACCCCGCTGGCTGGCGCCGTCCGATGGGCCCCTCAGCCACCAGGCTGAGGCACGGCGGCCACCCAACGTGGTCTCCCCTCTTCACTCCCTCGACTGCTCCAGATGTCTTCCGGTCTCCTTCCTATAACCTCTCTCCCACGTGACCCTGACTCTTCCCTCTCCCATGTGACCCTGACTCCTCCCTCGCGGATCATCACATCCGGCCTGCCCATTTACGCTCGCATTACATGTGGAAGGATAACACGATGAAAAGTGGATTGTAAGGTGTTCCAACGAAGATAGGATGGGTTATCTTCCCTTCTACGTGACTTTACCGAAAGAACCAAGAAGTTGAATCCCTGCAGTCACGAAAGCTTTAAATCGAAATTTAGGATGGGTTTTATTTAATATATTTTCAAGAGGGTGACATGACACTTGATGGTACTTACCTGACACTCATCAGATATTTACCACTCACCTAACACTCACTACTTACTTCTTGCCAATTCATACAATATAGTGGAAAACCTATCATGTATTTTTACAGTGTCATTGACAAATATGTTGAATTTTTGGATATGAAAGAGGTGAAATAATACACCAAGTAACGTGAACTAATGTACTAATTCAACGAAGCATTTGTGATTCAACTTGTCACCCACCTGCCCCAATGGCACACAGCTATTAATTTTATGATTTTAAAATCAGGTGTATGGGGGAATCATTGCAAATGGTAGAGTCGAAAAGAACTGCTGTGGCCAATAAGCCAAATTTATCAGCTCAAAGGTCAACTATTTCAATCATTTTTCATTAACTCCAATCATGACATTTCATATGACATCTCATTCTGTGAAATCGGTGGAGTGGCCTAGGAGTTCTTAGAAAAAAATACATACATACAGATTATCCACTTAATTTCCAGAATACTGCTCACTGAATCATGGACAAAGTTATTATGTATAGCATGAATAGAAATAAAATGTGGCTGTGTGTTCTCCAATTCTATTCTAATTGTGCTATCGGCATCACACTGAAACAAAAATATCCTTTCTGAACTGTCTCAGAGCAGTGCACCAACCCGTATTCGATAATGGCCAATTGATTCAAATATTACAGGTCTGCCTCTGAGATTCCTTCAGGTGACCTCGTTACCACATTTTCCCACATTCACTGTTACAGTGAGAAAAATGGCTTTGGGAGGTCTCATAGTGTAAATGCTTAACCCGAGCTCTCAATACTATGATAGTGCGCTGTTTTTGAGTTGTACGCCTTTTGGCGTCATCTGGTCCAACACCAATGGAGACTAGGTTCTAAGAAAAGCTGTCTCGGGTGTGGACCAATCAACTTCAAGGACAGTGCATATCATTATCATTATCAGAGTTGTTTCTTTTTGTTTGCATTTTGACTGCTTGTGTTGTGGTTATTGCAAACATGATGCCTTGTATAAAGGTGTCAGTTTTTGTAACAGTTGAAAGGGTAAAAACCTATTACTATATTTTGCCACTGGTAAAGGAGGTCTCATAGTGTAACTACACACAGACTATGTTACGATGAGGTCACAGGCCCATTTGTACAAAGGTTATGAAAACATGTTGGACCTTATATGGTTGTGGCTTTTCTGGATCGAGCCCAATCTTGAATTATATTTATACATCAATCTGGCCCTTGCCTGCAAGCTGGGATCCGCTGTTTGCTGCTGTCCCTGCTGCCACTGAGTGGTGGGCCTCCGTCCCCTCCCAGCGTAGGCGGCCGCTCCCCTCTCCTCCCAGTACTGCCCTCGACTCCTCCCCTGAGACGCGGGCAGAGGCAACAACTGAGACAACAGAAACCGCTGTCCCCGAACTCCCACTCCTGACCTTTGACATCAACATCCCCCTTCACCACCAATAAAGTAAGGTTAAATAAGGTAAAGGGGCAGCCCTCCCAACTACGTGCCCACTGCCAGCAGACAGCTCCTCCAGAGGGGATATTGACCTCCTCTTCCACAATAGCCAAATGTGTTATGCTTTAGCCCACCATACACAACCTGCTGATAGACTGTTGTATAACCATTTACACCACTGTGTAGCTTTGGGTTGAAACTGATGAGCTCTGATTGAAAGTCAAGTGCAAAACACTACACAAGGACAGAATGCACCAAGAATGCATGTTTGCTAGAACATACAGGGTGGTTCCACTGTGGTGCTAGTTTGACCCAGATTTCTCTTCAAATGGTGAGAAGATATCTCGATGGACTAACATGTATATGTATAAAAGCAGTTGTCAATACACTTGGTTAATTACATTCTTCCACTGATTGCTCAATTTGAATCATCATCTCGGTTGAAGTTATGTCTATGTTTGTATATCTGGAAAATAAGAAAATCTTAAGCTAAACTTGTACTCTCGAAAACAACATGTGGTAATGGTGATGTTAGTGTTTAAAGCTAGGAAAATGGAAATAAGAATAAATATAAACTGGCTGTCTAGCAGTAAACTGCACGGCAGCTAAAGATTAGCTTGATTTGTCCATGAAGCCATCCAGATATACAAACATAGACATAACTTCAACCGAGATGATGGATTCAGATTGAGCAATCATTGGAAGGATGTAATTAACCAAGCTAAACTTTAGCTGCCGTGCAGTTTACTGGTAGACAGCCAGTTTATATTTATTCTATTTATTTTCCCAGCTTTACACACTACCATCACCATTACCACACGTTGTTTTCGAGTGTGCAAGTTTAGCTTAAGCTTTTCTAATTTTCCAGATATACAAACATAGACATAACTTCAACCGAGATGATGTGTCAATACACTGTAGCATGAGGGCCTTTATCACAGGTAACCTAGTGCCTTAGAGATCAGAGTATTGGGTTGGCACTGTCAAATACCTGCATTCCAATTTGGATTTCGGCCGCCCATGATTAATCAGCCACACATTATCACACACACTTTAGTCACTTCTGTCAATGCATGAGGACATACAATCGTGGTGACATTAGGAACAACAGTTTTTCCAGGTTGAAAATAGTTTGTACCAGAACCAAATTAGTGTCGCTAAGATGCTTATGGTGACAATATTGTTTTTGGGTTATTTAAAAGTTTTAGGCCTTATATAAACTTAAGTTGCGGGCTGGGTCGTAGGTTCCTCATCCCTTACCCAAATGAAGACTTAAGATAAACACCGAAACTCTGCACGCATGCTTGTTAACAAACACCTTTATAAAACAGTACCTTCAAACATCTCCAGTTTGATGTTGTGAGCCACGCCATTAGGGCTGTTCCCGTCAACAGCTGTGGTTGAGGTCTGCCGAGGTTCCTCTGCCAAAAATCATGACAGTGAAAACACACTTAGCCCATGGGGAATCCAGAGACCGATAAAAAAAAAAGTTGATTCCTGGATTCTCATGAGTGGATGATCACAGCCTGGTCACCAATGAGAAAAAAACATCCCAGAACATTGGTTTAAGAGGTGGCTGGGTAGCTCAGAGGTCAGAGTGCCAAGCTGGCATTGCTGAGATCCTGGGTTGGAATTAAATTCTCAGACTGCTGTGATTAAACTGGGTTCTCGTGTTTAGTTAGTTGATGGTTTCAGCCTGATTACCAATAACTGCACAATACACCCACAACATTTAATTTGTTTCTTCATATTATTTGGATAAATTCCTGGCTTTGAGAATTGAAATATCCTTTTGTGTGTCATGCGATGAACATTACTCTCTGCAGCAGGTCAGAGGTCACTTGAAGGGATGATGGAGGTAGCTCTATGATTTCTGCTTCTGTGGGCCATTCTCTAACAAGGGTTGTACTTCTCTGTGTGAATAAGGGAGAAATGTTCATAAAATACCACGGAGTCGGACATACTCAGACGACCTAACTTTTTAATCCATGCTGGGATGGTGATGGTGAATTCAGTTTTGTATATTTGTGAAACCATTGGCTTATTCCACGAGCATTTTTTTTCTTAACCTACAATTATCTTCAAAATGACACTACGTACAAATTATGATGATTACTAAATTATCAATGCGAAGTCTGCTACTTGTGGTATTGCCCGTCTGGTGAAAATGTTAGAAAATGTAAAAATATTCTGTTGCGCCATACCGGACAGGTGATTGTAGTAGTGTTCATCGTAGTCTTCCATTTGTGTTGGCGAGCGGTGTTCAGCGTTGGCAAACACTGTGGTGGCATCTAAAGCAATAACACAAAATCAATTTTGAACATTGGACACGCAATGGATTCTTATAACGCATTCTTATGCTCATGGGGTAAAGTGTGGGTATTACTCCCACTTCTTGCAAGACATCCATTTGCCCAGCGGGTAACATAGACCAAACACCCCCAAGCAGGAATCTCTAGTTCACTCTGGTGAAGGCCTGTCCACTAGCAGTGGTCTGGTCAATTGCAGGCCAGCATCCTGAGTCCTTCACCTTATGCTCATGATATATCTATCCATCTGTGTGTAATAACTGACCATTTTAGACACCGATATATGTATGCAGTACTGTACCACTATACTGTACATTCTACTAATTTATACCAGTATGATACACACACTGAAAGTTGTGACTCTGAACTGTGACAACTGAGGGATTTCCCAGGAACCAAAATCCACAAAATGTTGTTTTTCAGAAAATAGGTTTTTGTTAAGTTGGTAAATAAACTGGATGAACAAAAGTTTTTAAATTCATTCTCCAGCCATCTGTGGAAGTATTACACGATGAAAAGTGGATTGTAAGGTGCTCCAACGACGATAGGATGAGTGATATTTAATACATTTTCAAGAGGGTGACTTGACACTTGATGGTACTTACCTGACACTTGTCAGATATTTACCACGAACCTAACACTCACTACTTATTCCTTGCCAATTCATACAATACAGTGGGAAATCACGACGTTTCGGGCGCAACACAAGCGTCCTTCAGGTGGGGACAACGTAGCGAAAGCACAACCGCTTAAGTGTGTCATGTTTTCATAGCCTTTGTACGAGTTCAGAGCGTTCGTTTTTGCTGATGTTGCTAACGTTTTTTTTTTAGCATTCTTGAGGATAGTGGCTATTTCAGCTTTCGCAACGTCCATTTGGATGTGTCCTAGTTGTTTTTTAGGTTGCGCATTTCTAATTTACCCCCTGGCAGCATAACAAAAGGCTGCTTAATCTTAGCTTTCTTATCTACTTCCGCCATTTGCATCACAAAGCTTCAGTTTGAACTCCATGTGTTGCCTCCCAGTGCCCCCCCGTGCTTCACAACGTTAACTCCCAGTCCACAGCCCGCCCACACTCCCCATGGCCCCTCCCCCTCCCTCCATCGCCCGCGACGATATAATTCCTCGTCACAGCCATCTCTTAGACACACTTAAGCGGTTACGTTGTCCCCAACTTGAAGGACGCTTGTGTTGCGCCCGAAACGTCGTGATTTAATTTAGTTGTTTTCATTTATTTATTTTTTACCTAAATTACTTTACCAAAAAAAACAAAGAGTATGAATCCTTGTAGTCACGAAAACTTCAAATCTAGAACAGCTATGAATTTTATGATTTTAAAATCAGGTGTATGCGGCAATCATTGTAAATGGTAGAGTGGAAGAGAAGTTTTGGGGCCAAAAATCCAAATTTATCAGCCCAAAGGTCAAATCTTTTAATCATTTTTCATAAACTCCATATCATGACCTTTAATATGACATCTCATTCTGTGAAATTGGTGGAGTGGCCTAGAAGTTATTAGAAAAATATACATACATACAGATTATCCACTTAATTTCCAGGATATTGCTCACTGAATCATGGACAGAGTGATTTTGTGTATCATGAATATAAATAAAATGTGGCTCTGTGTTCTCCAATTCTATTCTAATTGTGCTATCGGCATCACACTGAAACAAAAAATCCTTTCAGAACTCTTTCAGAGCAGTGCCTCAACCCGTATTTGATAATGGCCAATTGATTCAAATATTACAGGTCTGCCTCTGAGATCCCTTCAGGTGACCTCTTTCCACATTTTCCCACATTCACTGTTACAGTGAGAAAATTGATGGAATGGCAGTGGAACTAATACATTGAATTGTCAAAGTTGGCATATTTCCAAAGCAAAAGCCAAAATTTTAAATTATTTGGTATAAACATTGGTGACGAGGCTCAGACCATCAGCATGTGAAACTTGAGAACCCAGTTTTTAATTGCGTGTGGCTAAAATTCAAATTCAAAACCAGGATGTTAGCAATGCCGGCTTCGTAGAATTAATACAGAGAGGATGTCTACCGTGGACATGGAGCCATGAAATCGGTTCGTGTGCAGGTGCTAGGTAGATTGCCGGCTTGATTTTCAATGCTCAAAAGAGTGTTGGGTGATGCTCATCTGAAACGCACCTTTATCTAAAGTTTAGTCCACATTAGGTAATCTTCATGAGAGTTAACATGCCACTGCGTTCCAGACAGAAACAAGACAAATTCTATAGCCTGGTCTGTGTGGACACTGTTGGTGCTCACTCACCATAGCCCGAGTACTCATTCTTCACGCTTGCTGTGCCCTCCTCATCAGCCACCCTTGAATCAGATGCGAGTCCCTCCGGGTCTGGCAGGAAGTCCCCAGAAAAGACCCGTCCATCTCCTCCATTCCCACTGCCATCACCGCAGCCACCGCCGCCATCACCACCACTACCACCTCCCAGCCTCCGCATGGACAGCAGCAGCTCCCGGCTCAAACCGCTGAGCAACGCGAGCAGCACTTCCACCAGCCCTCCCAGCGTCATGTCACCAGGGGAGGAGGCGGCCGCATCGTCGTCCCAGCGTGGTGTCCCGGCGCCGTCGTGGGGCTCGGTGTCCTGCAGGGCCTTCACCACCTGCCGCAGCACGGCGTAGAAGCCGAAGGGCAGGCGGTCGCGCGCCGCGGCCAGCAGCTCGGCACGCACGAGACCGTCCCTGACGCAGGCGCGCAGGACCCCGTAGTCCCGGATACCCAGCTCAGAGTCCATGGCCCGGGCCACCTCCGCGTTCACGCCCTGCGTCTCCAGCCACGCCGGGAAGTCCCCGCTTGGCTCCAGGTTGGAGGCGATGGCTGGGACGGATGCCACCGCGCACGCCATTCCTCACTCTGTGAGAACAGTATCAAATGGTTAATTTTAGGTGATGGGTTGTGGATGTTTTGAAATGTTCTCTCAAATGTGTTTGGATTGTACCACGTGTACTTTGGCATATCTGATATTTCGCTCCACATTTTGGGAGCTTCTGCAGGAACTACATTTATCTGCTCAGCTCCCAGTGCTTGGAGCAAAACGTCGGGCATTACGCTAAACAACATGCGATACAATTCGAAAATAACTGTGCTCTAGAGCTCAAATTGAACGAAACATTGTCAGACTTTGTTCTCTATTAACATAACAGCTGATAGTTTGTTTGCCGTCCTTTATCTATCCACTGCTGGTTGAAGGCCTCCCAATGCCTTCGGTCAAGAGGATGGTTAACCATACTGTCACGCTGGTCATTGCGGCTCGGTTACGGGGGTGGTACCCAGGACTGGGTCAGATATAAATCATTGATGTTAGCCGTGGCCTAAAATCAAACTCAAGTTGTCAGGTTCATAATGCAGTGTGCTAAACCGCTGTGCCACAAACTCAAGTACTTGTGCACGAAGTAAAATACGTTTTTTCCCCCCCCCCCCCTTTTTTGGCAACAAAACTGAAACCTTTTTACAACTGAATCATGTTTACATTAACCACAATACCTGCGGTCAGAATGCAAACAAAAACACACTGATAATGTATGCATTGTCCTTGAAATTGATTGGTCCACACCAGAGACAGCTTTCCTTAGAGCCTAGTCTCACTTGGTGTTCGACCAGATGACGCCAAAAGGCGCACAACTCATAGACACCGCACTATCAGAGTAATGAGAGCTCGGGGTAAGCATCTACATCACGAGGCCTCCTTTGCCAGTACCAAAATATAATAATAGGTTTTTTCCCTTTTTTTTGGCAACAAAACTGAAACCTTATTACATGGAATCATGTTTACATTAACCACAATACCTGCGGTCAGAATGCAAACAAAACACACACTCTGATAATGTATGATAATGTATGCATTGTCCTCTGATAGTGCGTTGTCTATGAGTTGTGCACGTGTCGTCAACAGTGTAATATACAGCACAGTGGAGTCTACAGTGTAATCTTGAACACTAGGTTACAGTATAATGTACAGAGCAGTGTAGTCTACAGTGTAATCAATAGCAGGGTATAGTCCATTGCAATCTGCAACGGAGTGTGGTCTGTCGTATCATCTATAACCCAGTGTAACATGCACATTAATAACGTGGTGAGGGATGCCCAGAGATTATATATATTTTAAAAACCCCGCGGCGTAGGCAACAGACTAACCGAGTGTATGTCGCGACCAGGCCTCTCCTCTCGGCTGTCAAAAGTCTTCTAGCCGCTCAACGAGGCGACGAGGAGACGGTGGTGGTGGTGAAGACGGACGAGTGAGGTAGGTGTAGGAGAGTGGAGGTGGGGGGGGAGGACGACGAGAAGGTGGACGAGACGAAGAGGGGAGAGCAGCAGCGAGGTGGAGACGGAGGGTCCGTCCGCGCTGTGTTGGCCCCCGTGCGAAGTGACCCCTCACCCCCCAAGGGACCGCGGCGATGTGACGCGCGTGCAGTCGTGGTCACGCGGGGGGTGGGGGGGTGATAAATGTGACGTCACATCAAAATGAGCAACTTTAATAAATATATAATTGTTATAACAACACTCCACTACAACATCAGAGTGCAGCGCCACATTAAATACGCACTACAATGACAATATTTTAAAGCGATTTGAAGGCATGTTTTATTTTCAAAATGGAAATATGGTTTTGGGGGGGGTGGGCAGAGCTTTGTGACGTCATATTTGTGATGCCGTGTGACGAGGGGGGGGGGGTCAAAAATCGTCAAAATCGCGTGACGTCATTTATGGACGGTCCCTTATCACAAATGACAGCTCAACGAAGTGGATTATCGTGATGTGGAGATTTATATCAGCCATAATAAGTACTCATTGGTTATTTCGGTAAAGTCACGTATTTAGAAATTCCTTAAATAATTATCAAATAGAGCAAGTAAAGATCTATAAGTATCTTGGGGTAATCTTGGATTCAAAACTGAAATTTGAAGATCACATTGATTATATTTCGATTTAAAGCTTTCGTGACTGCAGGGATTCATCTTCTTGGTTCTTTTGGTAAAGTCACGTAGAAGGGAGATAATAAAATAATAAAATAAAACATAATAAAATAATACAATATTTTATTATGTTGTAAAATAATAAAAATAAAACATAATAAAATGATAAAATATTTTATTATTTTTATTATTTTATTATCTCCCTTCTACGTGACTTTACCGAAAGAACCAAGAACACATTGATTATATTGGTAAAAAGACAAAAATAAAAATTGGTTTTCTGTATCGACACAAGCACTTCCGTTTGGAATTGATGAAAGCCACCATACTGCCTCTACTTGATTACTGTGACATCGTATCCAAATCAGCCCCAAGCACTGTACTGAAGAAGCTTGACTCAATGTATCACTCGGCTTCAAGATTTGCATTGAACTGCCCATATAGGACTCACCACTGTGATCTCTACATTGGGTCAAACTTAACATCTCTGAATGTTCGACGGCTTGTGTAGCAGATCTTATTTATACACGATGTACTTACAAAAAAATCCGCAGACTACCTGCTGGACCTCTTCTCTGTTGTGAAGAACAAATGTGACCTAAGGTCTTCGCTCATTTACCAGCTTCACATTCCTTATTGCCGTACAAATACTGGAGGAAAAGCCTTTGCTATTGATGCCCCCAGGGTCTGGAATGATATTGCCAATAAACTGCAACTTGAATCACTACCTATGAGATCTTCACTCAAAACTGCTCTAGAGGAGTCGTACACCCCTAGCTGCCACTGCAATTCAGTGGCCTAAAATAAAATGTTTCGCTCTGGATGACCGGTACAAAGTATGATCTTGTGTTTTGATTTAGTGTGCTGATCTTTAAAGGTGCATTGAAAATGTTTGATACTCCTACTGATGCTCCTGCTGTTGTGGAGTGACTCATGCAGCCAGCTATGGCTGCAGGGTTTTGGTAGTACATGTTGTTTGTCGTTTATTGTGAAATTTCGGTCACAGTTCCTATGATCACTGTTACATTGCTTTTATGGCTTTATTTTGATTTCGAAAACTTTTTGGTTTGGCCATGTCTGTTTGTTGTAGTACGGAGTTAGACTGATGGCTTTAATCTAAGTTGTCTTGTGGTTGTTGTTGTTTGACTTGCATCCCACTGGGATTTTTGCACACAGCGTTGGTGTACGGCGCTTTTTCTGGAAGATTTTAGCTGTTTTTTCCTGGAATTTTGTTTGCGCATAGTCACTTTATGATGTTTTCTTGTTCATGTTTTTGTTTGTTTGTTGCGGTTGCACCCGATTCTAGAGCCGAATGGCTCACAGGGCTATACCAAATACTGTAAATGAAACTGAAACTGTTGTATAACTACTCTCTATGCATTTTACGTTCAACTTTCCCATACTTAGCACTCCCATTACGTGCTTTGTATTGTTTGTCGTCGTCACGTTCTGACCACGTGTGCGCGGCGGGGTGGAAAAGCGCTTTTTAGCTCATCGGATTTCCTCTCTCCACTTAAAACAAATCAACAATAACTCTACGTGCCCACGATGCGTCACATCGCCGCGGTCCCTTAGAGGGTGAGGGGGGGGGTGGTTTGGGGGTCATTCGCACGGGGACCAACACAGCGCGGACGGACCCTCCGTCTCCACCTCGCTGCTGCTCTCCCCTCTTCGTCTCGTCCACCTTCTCGTCGTCCTCCCCCCCCCTCCACTCTCCTACACCTACCTCACTCGTCCGTCTTCACCGCCACCACCGTCTTCTCGTCGCCTCGTTGAGCGGCTGGAAGACTTTTGACAGCCGAGGGGAGAGGCCTGGTCGCGACATACACTCGGTTAGTCTGTTGCCTACGCCGTGTTTTTTTTTTAAATATATATTTGGGCATCCCTCACCACGTTGTTAATGTGCATTTTACACTGGGTTATAGATTATACGACAGAGCACACTCCGTTGCAGATTGCAATGGACTATACCGTGATATTGATTACACTGTAGACTCCTCTGTGCTGTATATTACACTGTTGACTACGCGTGTGCTTGAGATTACACTGGCGTACACTGTGTTATATATTATACTACAGACTGTGCTGTGCTCTAGATTGCACTATAGACGACACTGCAGAGGTCAGTGCACCAACATGCCAATTACACTTGTACTATGCTGCCAGTCTTCAATCCGCAATAACCAGGGTGGTGAAGTATGGTCAAATCACCCGCACGACCTGCATTAAGTGGGGAGGTTCATCCAGCAATGAATTGACAAAAGGGCTGTGCATGTAGGTGTTCATACAGGTTATAGTGTAATATTAGCAATATTCGAGGTGTGTTCTGTTGTATTGCTGTAACCCTTGCTTACCACACGAAACATCGAATACACACAACACATTAAAATATGGAATGGGCGAAATATCCCAAATATGAATTAGTATACTTACTTTGTGTACTTGAGTTTGAACTGTGGCACAGCGGTTTAGCACACTGCATTATGAACCTGACAACCTGAGTTTGATTCCAGGCCATGGCTAACATCAGTGATTCATACCTGACCCAGTCCTGAGTATCACCCCCGTAACTCAGCCGCAATGACCAGTGTGACAGTATGGTTAATCCTCTTGACCGAAGGCATAGGGAGGCCTTCAACCAGCAGTGGATAGATAAAGGTCGGCAAACAAACTATCAGCTGTCAAGTTAATAGAGAGCAAAGTCTGACAATGTTTCGTTAAATTTGAGCTCTAGAGCTCAGTTATTTTCGAATTGTATTGCATGTTGTTTAGCGTAATGTCCGACGTTTTGCTCCAAGCACTTGGAGCTGAGCAGATAAATGTAGTTCCTGCAGAGGCTCCCAAAATGTGGAGCGAAATATCAGATATGCCAAAGTACACGTGGTACAACCCAAACACATTTGAGAGAAAAATTCAAACATCCACCACCCATCACCTAAAATTAACCATTTGATACTGTTCTCACAGATGTGAGGAATGGCGTGCGCGGTGGCATCCGTCCCAGCCATCGCCTCCATCCTGGAGCCGAGCGGGGACTTCCCGGCGTGGCTGGAGACGCAGGGCGTGAACGCAGAGGTGGCCCGGGCCATGGACTCCGAGCTTGGTATCCGGGACTACGGGGTCCTGCGCGCCTGTGTCAGGGACGGCCTCGTGCGGGCCGAGCTGCTGGCCGCGGCGCGCGACCGCCTGCCCTTCGGCTTCTACGCCGTGCTGCGGCAGGTGGTGAAGGCCCTGCAGGGCGCCGAGCCCCACGACGACGCCGGGACACCACGCTGGGACGACGACGCGGCCGCCTCCTCCCCTGGTGACATGACGCTGGGAGGGCTGGTGGAAGTGCTGCTCGCGTTGCTCAGCGGTTTGAGCCGGGAGCTGCTGCTGTCCATGCGGAGGCTGGGAGGTGGTAGTGGTGGTGATGGTGGCGGTGGCTGCGGTGATGGCAGTGGGAATGGAGGAGATGGACGGGTCTTTTCTGGGGACTCCCCGCCAGACCCGGAGGGACTCGCATCTGATTACAGGGTGGCTGATGAGGAGGAGGGCACGGCAAGTGTGAAGGATGAGTACTCGGGCTATGGTGAGTGAGCACCAACAGTGTCCACACAGACCAGGCTATAGCATTTGTCTTGTTTCTGTCTGGAATGCAATGGCATGTTAACTCTCATGAAGATTACTTAATTCGGACTAAACTTTAGATAAAGGTGGGTTTCAGATGAGCATCACCCAATACTCTTTTGAGCATTGAAAATCAAGCCGGCATTGCTGAGATCCTGGTTTCGAATTTTTATTTTAGCCACACGCAATTAAAAACTGGGTTCTCAAGTTTCACGTGCTGATGGTCTGTGCCTCATCACCAATGTTTATACTAAATAATAATTTAAAATATTGGCTTTTGCTTTGGAAACACGCCAGCTTTGACAATTCAATTTATTAGTTCTACTGCCATTCCATACATTTTTCTCACTGTAACAGTGAATGTGAGAAAATATGGATAAGAGGTCACCTGAAGGGATCTCAGAGGCAGACCTGTAATATTTGAATCAATTGGCCATTATCGAATACGGGTTGGTGCACTGCTCTGAGACAGTTCGGAAAGGATATTTTTGTTTCAGTGTGATGCCGATAGCACAATTAGAATACAATTGGAGAACACAGAGCCACATTTTATTTATATTCATGATATACAAAATCACTCTGTCCATGATTCAGTGAGCAATATCCTGGAAATTAAGTGGATAATCTGTATGTATGTATCTTTTTCTAAGAACTCCAAGGCCACTCCACCAATTTCACAGAATGAGGTGTCATATGAAAGGTCATGATATGGAGTTTATGAAAAATAATTAAAAGATTTGACCTTTGGGCTGATAAATTTGGCTTATTGGCCCCAGCACTTCTCTTCTACTCTACCATTTGCAATGATTGCCCCATACACCTGATTTTAAAATCATAAAATTCATAGGTGTGTGCCATTGGAGCAGGTGGGCGAGCAGTTGCATCACAAATGGTTATTTAGTTTAATTAGTACATTAGTTAACGTTACTTGGTGTATTATTTAACCTCTTTTAAATCCAAAAACTCAACACATTTGTCAATGACACTGGAAAAATACATAATAGGTTTCCCACTATTGTATGAATTAGCGAGAAATAAGTAGTGAGTGTTAGGTGAGTGGTAAATATCTGACGAGTACTCTTTGGTTTTTTCGGTAAAGTCACGTAGGTAAAACAATAAATAAAATAAATGAAAACAACTAAATTAAATCACTGTAGGCTACAGTTATTTTGCTGTGCCTTTTTTACACCTGATGAATGAAGCTTGTGTTTCCTCCGAAACGTCGTGATTTAATTTAGTTTTCATTTATTTTATTTATTGTTTTACCTACGTGACTTTTCCGAAAAAAAACAAAGAGTATGAATCCTTGCAGTCACGAAAGCTTCAAATCTAGAATATCTGACGAGTATCAGGTAAGTACCATCTAGTGTCATGTGACCCTTTTGAAAATGTATTAAATATCACTCATCCTATCTTCGTTGGAGCACCTTACAATCCACTTTTTATTGTGTAATACTTCCACAGATGGCTGGAGAATGAATTTAAATTTTTTGTTCATCCAGTTTATTTACCAACTCAACCAAAAACTATTTTCTGAAAAACAAGATTTTGTGGGTTTTGTTTCCTGCAAACCCCTCAGTTGTCACAGTTCAGAGTCACAACTTTCAGTGTGTGTATCATACTGGTATAAATTAGTAGAATGTACAGTATAGTGGTATAGTACTGTATAAATATATCTGGATCTAAAATGGTCAATTATTACACACGGATGGATAAATATATCATGAGCATAAGGTGAAGGACTCAAGGTCCTGGCCTGCAATTGCTCAGACCACTGCTGGTGGACAGGCCTTCACCAGAGTGAACTCCTAGAGATTCCTGCTTGGGGGTGTTTGGTCTATGTTACCCGCTGGGCAAATGGACGTCTTGCAAGAAGTGGGAGTACTACCCATGCTTTACCCCATGAGCATACAAATTCGTTTTCAGAATCCATTGCGCGTCTAATGTTCAAATGGATTTTATGTTATTGCTTTAGATGCCACTACAGTGTTTGCCAACGCTGAACACCGCTCGCCAACACAAATGGAAGACTACGGTGAACACTACTACAATCACCTGTCCGGTATGGCGCAACAGAATATTTGTACATTTTCTTACATTTTGACCAGACAGGCAATACCACATGTAGCAGACTTCGCAGTGATAATTTAGTAATCATCCTAATCGTACATTCCTATTTGTACGTAGCGTCATTTTGAAGGTAATTGTAGGTTAAGAAAAAAAATGCTCGTGGAATAATCCAATAGTTTGACACATATACAAAACTGAATTCACCATCCCAGCATGGATTAAAACGTTAGGTCGTCTGAGTATGTCTGACTGCGTGGCATTTTATGAACATTTCTCCCTTATTCTCACAGAGAAGTACAACCTTTTTTAGAGAATGGCCCACAGAAGCAGAAATCACAGAACTACCTCCATCATCCCTTCAAGTGACCTCTGGCCAACGTATTAGTGGGCAGCACTCACGTGACCTGTTGCAGAGAGTAACGTTCATCGCATGACACACAAAAGGATATTTCAATTCTCAAAGCTGGAATTTAGTCAAATAATATGAAGAAACAATTTGAATGTTGTGAGTGTATTGTGCAGTTATTGGTAACCAAGCTGAAACCATCAACTAACTAAACACGAGAACTCAGTTTATTCACAGCAGTCTGAGAATTGAATTCGATCCCAGGATCTCAGCAATGCCAGCTTTGCACTCTGACCTCTGAGCCACCCAGCCACCTCTTAAACCAATGTTCTGGGATGTGTTTTTCTCATTGGTGACCAGGCTGAGGTCATCCACTCATGAGAATCCAGGAATCAACTTTTCTTTTTTTGATCGGCCTCTGGATTCCCCATGGGCTAAGTGTGTTTTCACTGTCGTGATTTTTGGCAGAGGAACCTCGGCAGACCCCAACCACAGCTGTTGACGGGAACAGCCCCAATGGCGTGGCTCACAACATCAAACTGGAGACGTTTGAAGGTACTGTTTTATAAAGGTGTTTGTTAACAAGCATGCGTGCAGAGTTTCAGTTTCTCTTAAGTCTTCATTTTGGTAATGGATGAGGAACCTACGACCCAGCCCATAACTTAAGTTTATGCGGCCCAAGGCCTAACACTTTTAAATAAACCAAAAACAATATTTATTGTCACTGTAAGCATCTTAGCCACACTAATTTGGTTCTGGAACAAACTATTTTCAACCTGGAAAAACTTTTGTTCCTAATGTCACCACGCTTGTATGTCCTCATGCATTGACAGAAGTGACTAAAGTGTGTGTGATAATGTGTGGCTGATTAATCATGGGCGGCCGAAACCCAAATTGGAATGCAGGATCTTGACAGTGCCAACTCAATACTCTGATCTCTAAGGCACCAGGTTACCTGTGATAAAGGCCCTCATGCTGCAGCGTATTGACAACTGCTTTTATACATATATACATGTGAGTCCATCGAGATATCTTCTCACCATTTGAAGAGAAATTTGGGTCAAACAAGCACCAAAGTGGAACCACCCTGTATGTTCGAGCAAACATGCATTCTTGGTGCATTCTGCCCTTGTGTAGTGTTCTGCACTTGACTTGCAATCAGAGCTCATCAGTTTCAACCCAAAGCTATGCAGTCGTGTAGATGGTTACACAACAGTCGATCAGCAGGTTGTGTATGGTGGGCTAAAGCATAAGACATTTGGCCATTGTGGAAGAGTAGGTCAATATCCCCTCTGGAGGAGCTGTCTGCTGGCAGTGGGCAAGTAGTTTGGAGGGCTGCCCCTTTACTTTATTTAACTTTACATTCTTGGTGGTGAAGGGGGATGTTGATGTCAAAGGTCAGGAGTGGGAGTTCGGGGACAGCGGGTGCCATTGTCTCAGTTGTTGCCTCTGCCCGTGTCTCAGGGGAGGAGTCGAGGGCAGCACTGGGAGGAGAGGGGAGCGGCCGCCTACGCTGGGAGGAGACGGAGGCCTACCACTCAGTGGCAGCAGGGACAGCAGCAAACAGCGGATCCCAGCTTGCAGGCAAGGGCCAGATTGATGTATAAATATAATTCAAGATTGGGCTCGATCCAGCAAAGCCACAGCCATATCAGGGCCAACATGTTTTCATAACCTTTGTACAACTGGGCCTATGGCCACATCGTAACAGAGCCTGTGTGTCTCTGTGATATTATTTTAAAACCATGGTTGATAATCAAAGGTCCAAAATGACATACGACCAGCAACAAACAGCACTATTGAAGGTGTAAAAGATCAGACTTAATATGGTTCTTCAATTGAGCAAGGCTATAACAACTTGGTAATAGAGATGATGGGATGGAATTTCAAAATCGAGCAGTGTGAGGAAAGAAGCAAAGAGAAAAGAAATTTGACCTGCAGTGCAGTGGTTCAACACATTAATGCTGACCGAGTCCTCAACATGGGTGTAGGAAAATCAATTAATCGTTTCTACGTGCACTCAACCTGTCTTCACTCTCCTGTGGCCCATAAAAAGGCAGAATGTGCATGACAACCTCCTACGCAGAATATAAAAACCGATAATCTAAACAGGTAACTTGTATATATTTCAGGTATCACTGTATCATGATCGGTGTAATTTATTTTCAGCAATGGTTCTGTGTCTTGTGAGTAGCGTAAAAATATAAACATGTCTATGCTCGTGCTTCTCGGTTTAGGGCTCAAAAGTCAGGATAATTAACACTGTCCCTGTCACCTTCTCCTCTAGGTAAACTGTTGGACAAAACCCCCCCAGGCTATGTCAAGGATGACAGACACACACCAGCAGAATCGCTTGTGCCTCATCCCAACCAATTCGACCGCCAATGGCGGCAACAGCAGCAGGAACCGCAGCATCAGGTGATGGGCGAAGACCGGGTTAACACCGATTGTGCCGCAACTAGCACCACCGCAAGCCCACGGCTCCCCGCCAGCTGGCGCGCAGCCGTCATCACCGCTGCCACTAGACGACGCAGCCGGGAGCCCGGCGGCGCAATTATCGGCGTTGGTGGTGGCGTTGGCATCGGCGGTGTCGGAGCCGGCAGGGGCGGGGGACGACGCTTCGAATGCGCGCAGTGTGGCCGGCGCTTCTCGCGTTCCGAGGCGCTGGTGTTCCACATGCGCACGCACACGGGCGAACGACCCTACGGCTGTGACGTGTGCGGCCGTGCCTTTTCGCTGCACTCGAACCTCAAGGTGCACCGTCGGACCCACACCGGCGAGCGCCCACACCGATGCGACGTGTGCGGCCGTGGATTCACGCACCGCTCCAGCTGGAAGAGGCACCAGCGTACGCACGACCGCATATACATGATGCAACAGCTACCAACGACGGTGCCACCGCCGCTGCAGACGATGGCGCAGCGCCAGTACGGCGATCGTACACTCTAGACCTCCGCTTTGTGAGTTTCGACAATAACGGACTCCCAGTGTGTGCCACACGTAGAGTGCTTAAGCACTTTCCAATGAGCCAGCAATTGGCATACAGGTTTCCGTTATTCCGCTGTCTGGAAGCCCAAATGGACAGTATGCCGTATTCCAGCACTACCCGTAAACTGTACAAGACCGCAGCAAAACAAGACATCCCACGGGTTTACCGGAAGTGTTACATTCCGTGTTGCACCAAAGAAAGTACCAATATTAAAGCAGTACGAGCAGAACAATGACCGCCATTGATCAAGCTCTGCTTGACTTATTAAATGAGGCGAGACGCCAACAGCGGTATGGTACAGCAGAGGGCCTCGACTTCACAGATTCCAGCCGCAAGGCCTGGAACCTGCTCCGCACTCTTGGTGCTGCAAAATCAACAGCTTCCCAAACCCCAGGAGTCACAGCGGACACCATTGGTGCTCACAATTTCCAGAGAACACAAAGGACCCTCAAAATGGAGGAGGTATAGAAGCCATCTACAACCTCACCCCAGAGGCCCTGGATTGGCTAAAGAATTATGACATGAACCTTTGACAACTTGCTGCTCCCCTACAATAAGTCTGCTCGTCTGCAGGAATGCATGACAGAAGAAGAAGCACAAGCACGATTGACCTATTGAACACAGATCATGTGATTAATGATGCAGTAAAACAAATTAAACATGTGCTTGGTTGCTAGTTTATGCTGTTGACAAATTAACATCGACCCACGGTAATGCAGTGATCTAAATGACACGCCCCCATGTGCAAAAAGCTGTGAATTCAACGCCTGACATTGTCGGTCGCCGCTGTTGCGGGTTTGACGTTTACTGGCGCGTGCATATACCAACTTAAATCTTGATTTGAAGCTTTCATGATTGCAGGAATCCCTACTCTTTGGTTCTTTCGGTAAAGTCACGTAGGTAGAAAAAATAATAGATGACGACGTTTCGATCGTGATCTAGTGCTGCCGCGGTGGTCCACTTTACTCCAGTGACCCGGGTGCTGCCGCGGGATCCACTTTCTGCTCCGCCTCCTCCCCCCCTTCTCTCTCCCCCCTACTGCCGAGACCTATATAACCTCGTGTCACAGCAGAGCTCTTGCCTACTTAGCAGGTTTTTCTTTCTGTGGTTGTCCCACCTGATGACGATTGCTTGTGTTGCTAACGAAACGTCGTGATCTATTATTTTTTCTACCTACGTGACTTTACCTAAAGAACCAAAGAGTATACCAACTTACATTGATTCAGTAGAGCCAGCTCTCACAATGCACCGTGCATTGCGACATGGATGTATTCAAAGGTGTGACAGTTATGCCACAGTGATATCACTAGAGGCATGTCAAAGCCTGGAAGTCGCGTCACTGATTTTCAATTCTATTTTTTCATTCACGAAGGTTGAAAGTCATGTAAGACAGGCAGACTCGAGTATATAGTCTTAATATGTAACTTCCAGATAACAGCTGACAACTGGATTTCTTTGGCATGTTTTTTTCACAACATGACAGTAGTCGGATTTCGTGGCTCGTTTGACCAATGGGCATTGCTTGTCTTCACTCATGGTTCAGAGGCAGTGCTGGAAATTGCATGTTCCTTTTGTAAGACTCTGGCTTTGCGTAGCAAAATAAGATCCACAGGTGACTTCCCACGGAGTGGTAATAGTCGCGCATTGTTCAGGTGAGGTCCAGTCAAACATTACACATTATGTTGGCCAGGCTCCGTCCATTTTTAAAGCATCCACGATATAACATCCATACTGAAAAGTTCCAAGTTGCAGTCAGTCCCATCTCTCCTTAACACCGAAGCTGATGTTGCCTTCGCCTGTGCCCAGTGGTGCAGACTGATTAAGTGCTGCTGATTCTACTGATATTTGAGAGGTGAGAATTAGGATGGTGACAATGAAGATGATGATTTTACGGTCTCGTAGAGGTGATGATGGTGCTGATGATTATGGTGATGAGACAAGAGTTGATCTTGACTGGAATTTTTGCTCACAACCTTGCGATTGTGAACCCAGAACTTTCTAGCAAGTGCGTTATTAATTAAGTTACATTTTCTCGGTAAAGAAATAGACGAAAACTAACCAAGATAACACCGAAAATTAAGCTACACAAAAATGAAAATTTAGCTTCCATATGAAAATGTAAACGTGGTAATCTCATAATTAGTTACTTTTCAGTTACTGTAGATCATGTAAGTATAATCAAATTTGTAGCTATACCATCCGCCACCCAACAGCCAACCAAATAAAGTTGTCACATAGGCAAATTAAGCCAAATATTTTTTTCAGCAACCCGGAATGTTGAAAAGCAAGCAAAAGTTTGACAATTGGAAACGACCTTTCACTGGTTATTACATCCAGAATTATCAGGTGTTAACAGAAGTTCTGCTCTTGCGTTGAGCAGAGCTGCTGTTACCACCTGATAATGCTGAATGTAATGTCCAGTGAAACGTTATAAAATTGCAATTTTTTGCATATTTTCCCACGTGATACATTGATTAGATTGGGTCGGGTTGCGGATAGTATAACTCAGGTGTCAGCAACCTGCGACTTTAGGGCAGCATGCGGGCTCATTGGCTGTCCCTTTGCAGACAGCAGTTTATTTTCTACTTAGAATTCCCTGTATTTGGTTCTTTACACTATACAGTGTAGGACACGCGGTCCCCGCTATTACATTACAATGCGTCCCTATAAACCACGTAAATCGGATTCTACTTTCCCATAGACACAATGTTACTGTCTTGATAACAACAAAATATAGTCAAACTAGATTGTTAAAGAATAACTCTGGAGGGGGAAAAAACTAAACGGACATTGTTTATTCTATCACCTATTTTGTTTAAGTCGGATGTGTTTGCCATCTGCCGCATACCTGCTATGTATGTGTTCAAGTAGCTCTGCGTGTGATGCGGCTCTCGAAATCCCTTCGTCGAAGACAAAAAAATTAATCCGTAAAAACAAAGTTTTTCACTATAAATCCTTTATATGCATGGCGGCTAGAGTCCTCTCGTCATCTGGCTTAAGATGGCTGCCACCTATGGGTCAGATGATTGCCTGCCAGCATTAAGCAATTGGTAATTAAATATAATTTATTTTTTCCTAAAAAGTGTAACATTTTGGAAAAAAAATTTCACGAAAATAAATTGTCACGCACAACGAGTCTGTGTGCAAAATGTCAGCTCGATTGGATCACGGGAAGTGGGTTAAAAACGACCGAAAGATTTGCACGGTCGTAAGCGCGCAAGCAAGCAAGCAAGTGAACTTAATATAAAGGATTTTAAAATGGCTTCTTTGAAAGGTTGACCCCTGTTATCTCTGAAAATGTACATTTTACCTACATATAAAATGGTCATCTTCGTTAAATATAGAATGACATTTTCACTGTGAATGGAAATATTCCAAAGCGATCAAAAACTGTATAAAAAAGTTCTGCGTAAAAACTGAAACTATTTGCAATATTGCAAGGTATTTTTGGTGCTTGGTAATTGGCATCTATCTGCCTCCAATATCTCAGTGCCAATAAAGAGACGGAATGCTTAATGGCAGGGAGTTGTTTTTGCGTGACTAGTTTTACTCAGGCTTTGTTGTATGCAGCTGTACCAGTAGGTATGTAACGATTGATTGATTAAAATCTCATGGTATAATGCATCAAATTCCGTGTGCAAGAATATATTATGTCATGATAATTACAAGGACTGCTCTACTTACGAACTTTCGACTTACTAACTTTCAGAGATACGAACAAACCTTTCCGAATGTCCAGTTGCCTGTTCGCACTGAGAGTCGTAAGTTCAACCAACGAGCAATACATGGTGGTGGTTGTTTGGTGTCATTACCCATATCTCACAAGTGTACATCCGCAGAACATGTAGAACCAGTGGCATCTGCAGAAGATTATTCAATTCTAGATTTAAAGCTTTCGTGACTGCAAGGATTCGCATTCTTAGGTTTTTTCGGTAAAGTCACGTAGGTAAAAAAATTAAAATTAATAAAAGTAAAAAAAATCACGACGTTTCGGAGGCAACACAAGCTTCCGTCTTCAGGTGGAATCGTGCTGTGACGGTTCCACCTGAAGACGGAAGCTTGTGTTGCCTCCGAAACGTCGTGATTTTTTAATCAAATTTTACTTTTATTAATTTTATTTTTTTACCTACGTAACTTTACCGAAAAAACCTAAGGAGATTATTCAACTTTTAAAGCGATTGCCCGTGTTTTGTGTACATGCCTTACAACGTGTTTAGAATCGACAGTAAATTTGGATTTACGAATAAATCGACTTACGAAGAGACCTTTGGAACCTAACTTATTCGTAAGCAGAGGAGTCCATGTATATTGAAATCGAGGGGGTTGGCAGCAGAGGCACATAGTTTCTTGCACTGAGCTATGAACCCAGAGACCCGAGTTAATTTCCCAGCTAAAACCTAACATCAGTAAGCTCGTGTTATCAGAACCGACACTGGAAATCCCCTTTACCAAACCATTGTCATTTCTCTTGAATGCTGAACATGGGGGGGGGGGGGGGGCTTCATCCAGCAGTGGATTGACAAAGGGCTATAAACACAAATGAGACAGTACAAATAGGACAACATATATTCCATTTCTGAACCAAAGGACCCTAAAATGGGATAGTTTATCTAATCTTTGAGTGGGGTTACTTATTTGATACTCAGGATTATATGTTCTGATTGCCTTAAGAGACGTACTCATGATGTCATAACCAGGTTGGCTCTTAGGAAAGTGAACTAATCAAATTGAACTAAACTATAATGCATATGCATCGGTTCTGTAACACTTTGTTATAGTAAATATTGAATGTAATATTTCAAGCTGCATAACGATATGACGTGATACGCCATATATAATTGAACATTATGGCGAGACCCCGGGGTCCCAAATAAACGGAAGTAAACATCTTAATTCATTTTTGGTGACTCCGTCCCACCGTGCACATAAACCCCGCGACCCACCTGGCGCGGATCATTCTGTTATGTCCAAGCGCAGCGAGGACGAATGCGTAGAATAAACAAAACTTTTAAACTTTGATGAGCGCATCGTGTAGAGTTCGTCGAGAGGAATAGATTGCCGTATCGTTCGCTTTCAACATACATAAAATGACGTCGCAACGCAGTTTATGCGAGAGCCGGAGGCTTATGGGACCCCGGGGTCCCGCCGTAAGGTTCATAATGTTGACATGTCGTGAAGGGAGGGGGAGTAGAGGCTGTCATGGAACAAACACCAAGGGAACCCTTTCAGGGTTTGTTTTGATTAGAAGTTTTGGGCAACCCTTTGATCATTTTGGCCGGGTTTCTCTCGGATAATTCCCCAATAACACGAATTTACACTAAAAGTGTGTTACTATTGGATAATCTTTATATTATGTTGCCCTCCTGTTTTAGAGACATGGAGTTAATGAAAGCATTTGAAACAAATATCTCTTACGTACCTAGTCTGTCTGTCCTGGGCTACCTGACGCAAGTTGATGCTTTGTTTATGTGAAAATAGACTTGTATGTAATGATCTCTGTGCCCTGATTGGCTCCAGCAGAGGTACATCTTGCTTAACCCCTGGTCGTGTAAACGTTGGTTGAGAGAGCTCTGAGAGTCTTTGTTAGAGTGCAGAGGTCGCAAACGGGTTTTGATTCCTTACCCATACCCGGCCGCACCAGGGTCGCAAATGGGTACCCGTACCCGGCCGGGTACGGGTACCCGTTCCCTACCCTTACCCTACCCGAAATGAGTGACAAGCGGTTACTCACCATAGGTTACTCACCAGTGACTCACGGCCTACCCGTACCCGTACCCGGCCGCACCAGGGTCGCAAACGGGTACCCGTACCTGGCCGGGTATGCGTAGCCGTGTATCGGGTAGAGTACGGGTATCGGGTACCCGGTTGCGACGTCTGTTAGAGTGGGTCTCCACTCAGCCCCTGCAACGTTCCAGCGGCTGATGGAATTGGTCCTCGCTGGGCTCCAGTGGGACACCTGTTTTATTTAAAGACCTGAAAGGGGGGGGGGGGGGGGGAGAGCATCGCATCGGGCAAGAGGGTGGGGCTAGAGATTGTGAGAGATTAGGATGTCAATGTATGCGCTTAGTATGTAGAAGCCTTGGTGACTGAGCGGGTGGCAGAGATCGCAAACGGGTTTTGATTCCTTACCTGTACCCGCACCCGGCCGCACCAGGGTCGCAAACGGGTACCCGATACCCGTACCCTACCCGTACCCGGCCGGGTACGGGTAGGGTACGGGTATCGGGTACCTGATTGCGACCTCTGGGATGAAGCCATGTTGCAGGCGCGGGTGGGTTGATTCTAGGAACTTGAATTGTGAGAATAGACAAGACGTTGGGAAATGAGTGACAGTTACTCACCAGTGACTCACGGCCTACCCGTACCCAGCCGCACCAGGGTCGCAAACGGGTACCCGTACCCGGCCGGGTACGGGTAGCCGGGTATCGGGTAGGGTACGGGTATCGGGTACCCGGTTGCGACCTCTGGTGGGTGGAGACTGAGCGAGTGGAGCATCCAGAGAGGGGTGCCGAGTCGAGGGAGGGGAAATGTGCGAAAAAGAGAGAGGTGTTCCGATTGCTGCACAAGCAATCGTCTTAAGAGAGAGAGATAATAAAGAAGCTGAGACATCAAACTTAGCAAACTTAGAAATGCAATGCAACTCAGAGAGTCGGCTAACACAACAGTTAATACTTTACCTGGTTGATCAGGTCCTTCCAATGATTGATACATTTGTATCCATCTTCTCGCTTGAAGTTTTGTCTGAGTTGTGTGGAAATCCTCCCTGTAGAGGTGGTTCAATCTTGATTTGAAGTTCGCTCAGTCTCCACTCGCTCCATCACCGAGGCTTCTACATACTAAGCGCATACATTTGTAGTGGATACAAACTCGCAGGTGAGGTATTCTTGGAGGCAACACGTTTATTCAGTAATAACCACAATAACAGTTGTCCCTGACACGAAGGGGTACGGCGACTTCCACCCACTATCCTGGGGGAGGTATAGCCTCCGGGCTAGCGTGTCCTATTCAACTCGGGACTACGCTCCCTATTGGGTCCTCCGCTATGTGACCGAGGGGAGGATATTCTGACCCGACCTTGCCAGGGTCTCCGGGTCTTATCACTGGCCCACTCGAACCCGGCTCTGACAAGAGCCTTGATTGAGGGGTCCACGGTCCTAGGCTTGAAGTGTCTTCAGTTCGTTGAGTGGACGACAACTGCCGGTCCCGTTGAGAGGACCGGCTTTTATACACGAGTCCGGGCTCACTCCGCCCCGAGCCACTCCTCCCTTCTCGAACCGTCCAGAGGATCCTGGAAGGGTCTGGAGTGAACCGTTAGCTCCCCCCCCCCAGCCTCCACCCCCTGGGGGGTCTGTGGTCCACACCTCCGGTCACGAGTTTACCCCAGGGGGGTTACCTTCGTTTAACTGCCACTCAACCTGCTACGCCTCCTTTCCGCCCCCTGTTGACCTATTGGCGTAGTAGGAGGCTGACTTGCACGTAGCGCCTTAATAACGTGGCTATACATTGACATGCTAATCTCTCACAATCTCTAGCCCCACCCTCTTGCCCGAGGCGGCGCTCCCCCCCTCTCAGGTCTATATAATGCCTTGTCTCAGTTGCTTTTCTCTCTCTCTCACCTGAAGACGATTTATTGTGTTGCCATCGTGATCTATTATTTATTTTTCTATCTATGAGACTTTACCGAAAGAACCAAGGAGTATGAATTCCTGCAGTCACGAAAGCTTCAAATTAATATTATTGTGCTTAATTTACAAAGCACTCTTTCAAGAACTGCCTCAATATTTTAGTTTGACCTCCTCACACAGCCACGCTTTTGGCAAAAACTTTTGTAGTTTTGGCCTTTTTTTTGGTCCTCGGCCCTCAAATTTGGAATGCTCTGCCTGAAAACCTTCTATACCTGATCGCCGGGTAGTAAAAACTACTTATTTCCTATGATGTGGTAAATAAACTAGAGATATATTTTTCTGTACAGCACTCTGAAGCCCTTTGTTGAAACTGGTGCGGCTTAGAAAACGTAAAATAATAATTAACATAGAGTAATACCTCGGTTAATGAAGAAAATGCGTTCCATGACGTCACTTCGTTATTAAAAACTTTGTTATCAGAGGTAGATATAACAAAGGAGGCATTGGGATGCGTTTCAAGACTTCAGAGAAGGCGGTACAATAAGATAACATGGCCAACACAGTCGTTTTTACTTTGTCTGCTTGGTTTTGAAATGATCTTTAAGGTGGACTGCACTAACCATAATGAACGCACAACTTCAAAGTAATCTCTCCCGCCTCTACCCTCCTTATGATCTGCATTTTCGTTTCCAAAGGGAGGGATTTACGCTGTACTTTTTGCCCAGTAAGGCCACTTGGATTCGACCAGGGGTCAACAACTTTTCAAATAAGAAGAGCCATTCTTTATGTTTTTGCCTTTGACCAAAATAATTCGAGAGCCACATCACACGCAGAGCTACTTGTACACAAAAAACAGCAGGTGACAAATTCTGACTTAAACTAAATATGTGATGGAATAAACTGCGTCTATTTAGTGCTTGTCTCCCTTAGTTATTTTTTAACAACACTGTACATTTTGTCGTCACCAAGACAATCGTATTTAATACATTGCTAATTAATTATATGCGTATTAATTTACGTTAAAGATTTCGCCTTTTATCAACAGACAGCTGCCAGCAAGGGGGCAGCCAAAGAGCTGTAAGAGGGAAGCCAAAGAGCCGCATGCGAGCCCGGAGCCGCAGGTTGCCGACCCCTGCGCTAGATGGTCATTTGTATAACATAATGTGGGGGTAATCAAATATTTGTATCACTGCAAAAAAACCGATACAATTTTATCAATACGAGAACCTCCAGCTGTGGCGGGCTGGAGACGGAGACTCTCGAAACTCTTTCCTGATTGGCTACTGGTATTGTAATCGAACCCCACTCGGTTGAGTTCACGCGGCGCGTTTGGAATGTCACTCTTTTGAATCGCTTCGCATGATTTTGACTTAAAACTTTCGTGACTGCAGGAATTCATATTCTTGGGTCTTTCGGTAAAGTCACGTAGATAGGTCCGACGAAAACAAAAACATACAAAAAACGTCTCGAGCGCAACACAAGCGGTCGTCCCCAGGACGACCGCTTTTGTTGCGATCGAGTCCCCAGGACAACCGCTTGTGTTGCGATCGAGAAGCCGTGGTTTTTTGTTATTTGTTGTTGTTTTCTTTGGACCTATCTATGTGACTTTACCGAAAAACGTAAGGATATAATAATACATATGAATACTCTTAAGATGTCGTCCTAACCTTTGGGGCTCCGCAACCATCACAAGGCAGGTTTAAACATAAATCTTGGGATAACAGAATCTGAATATTTATTTATTTTGGAGGTATTCGATGAGCTATGAAGCTCTTTTTCACAGATGTCCAGTACCTATAAGGCAGGTAACACGATCTATAGTTAAATAAAATCTCTATGACTGATATAACAAACTCTGTAAAAAAGTAAGACTAGATTTAAAAATCCAATAAAAGCAGGTGACAAATTCTGACTTAAATAGACAAAATATGTGATGGAATGAACTGCGTCTATTTAATATTTGCCCCTCTTATTCTATAACAGTGTTGGTCATTTTGTTGTCACAAAGACAATGTATAGTGACCCATTCCCTGTCGCATATAATTAATTGTTAATTACCTTTGCGTTAAATACAGGAATAATAATGCTATACAGTACTTTATAAGTGTATTTGCTATGATCACGGCGCATGTTTTGCTACAAAAGATGTTTGCCGATAACCGCAGATGAGAACGACTCATAAATTGCGGATAAACGAGAGGAAAAGGGGCCTTGATAATAGTCGGAGTCGAGGGTAAAAGCGCCGTGGATAAGAGTTCCCCTGTACAGTATTCAAATGGCAAGTTAAAAAAAACGTTTCAAAGAGAATTGTATTACTTGTCATTCTCCAGCTTTCACCCCTCTATTTATTTGGCCGCTCTGAAGAAGGCTCATTACCCTAAACGTCAACTATGTTGTTGACACTGTATTTTCATGTAAAACCACAGTGTTATTGATGCACATGTTGAGTTTTTTGTTATGTATGTATACTGTTTGATTTTTTTAAAGGGAAGTCATACAATACCTGCAAGGTATGCAGCTCACATTGTTAAAGAAACTGTACTTTCTTCAAATACAGTACTCTACTGGTGGTTCAGATGTCTTGTGACCCCCTAATTAATTGACCCCTTCCGATGTGCTTCCTTTGCATGTTTATTTCTGCTTCAAATACATCTTACTGACACAAATATGACGATTTAATGGAGAATGAAATGGTGATCACAAGACATCTGGACCACCACCCAGGCAGTTTTTCCAGTTGGACCACTCCTCTGAAGCGACAATGAAAAGCACGGAATGAGGAACTTGTAAAGGAGTTGCGGTCGCCGTTTTCTAGATTGCTGGGTGTCGTTAGTCTAGAAACTGGCACGGTACATTCATCTTAATCTACATGTATTTTGAGAGACATTAACAGTGTTAATAGCTAAGTGTTTTACACTCATAGCCACTGATGATCCAGCTGGGGTTTCTTCTGTAGAAATGTTCAAGTGCCACAAGGCGTATTTGCATTATTTGACAGGGAAGTATCTCTAAAGTAAAGCTACATAACAGCGATATTAATTAATTCATCGTTAGGTTCGTGCTCCAGTAGTACCATTTTGACACCAAGTTTGAACGATGCAGCCAAAACAAGTGGCAGCAATGGGGCTGATCTCTGGAATCATCTTATTTACGTTCATCTCAATGGTAAGTGTGTAATACAGTATATACCCACTACGAGCATACGATTTCGACTCAGCTGCTCCTAATCTATTTCGTTATCAAACATTACCTCCCATCATCTTCCCAAGCCTCCGATCACCATTGACATAAAGTCCGATGGCAAGTGTCGCTATATCCCTTCTGCTGCCAAAATGGTGTTTTCTCTCTCAACTGCCCGTGATTTTTCTCCGTTGCTTCTCAGTGGCGATCAGACAATGGGAGGTTGACACTTATTTTGGGCTGCTCTCAATATCTAAAAAATAATACACGATGTGAGGTCTTTTATTCTCGTTGGCTGCTCCTTCAGTTTCGGCTAGCCTGTTTCTTGCCGTTAATGTTTCAGATGTTTTAACTATTTAATAACTAAATATTTATATCGTCACTTGTGTATAATTGCATTACACCTTTCTTTCAACTATACATATGAATAATCTTAAGATGTCATCCTAACCTTTGGGGCTCTGCAACCATCGAACACCGAATTAATTTTCCCCATAAGAATGAATGTAAATGACATTAATTGGTTCTCGACACAAGAAATCTTTCATTATAAAGCATTTTACACGAAGTTTACAGTAATTACATGCATAAAATCATAATAAAAACAAGAAACAATAAGTAAATGGAATAAATGAATAAATATATAAAATAAATGAACACTGAACTTCACTTTCCCTGTAGTAAAGATAGTTGATGGCTTGAGTGGAAGGTAGTGAGGAGGTGGTGGTGATGTTATTGTTTGGAAGGGGAGTCCCCTTCCATAATAACGTCGGGGAACTGCCCTTCTGGGGTTCTTTCTCTTTTGTGCCTCTTTTCTGCCACTGTGAGTCACTTGAGCTCTTTCTGACTAAAAAGATATCTAAAGAGGTTTGTTTCTGCCTCTCATACGGTAAAACCTTTGTCTGGGCAAGCGTCATGCACGCTGGCCATACGCGTCTCAGCCGTACAGGTTTTTTCAAGTCGCGATTGCCCGTTCGACCTCCGAATTTCGTTGGGTTTCCGGGGCAAAAGATGCTCGAAAATATTGTTTGAACACCGATTTGTTCGAGTTCTGGTGCGTTCGATCTCCGAGGTTCTACTGTATATTTATTCATCTTTTACAAAATAGGGCGGTGAAGCATCCCTCTCCAGCCGACTTGGTTATAAAAGATCTGCGTTCCAAGAGGAGTCGTTAACAGAGGTATTACTGTATTTACTTACCTTAAAAAGAAATAATTTTGTGTTACACTTAATTAGATCTGTATAAAATATTAACACGTTGCATAATGCATGATACAATGATATATAATTGTTAGCAACATCAATAAATTAACGTGAACATCAATATCAACATGATCATATATACAGCATTAACCTTTTTATGCAGAGCCACAGTTCATCATCTGAAGTTAAGCTTTTATCCAGGAAGTATGAAGGCCCATTGTAATATTTGCCTGGTCAACAATTGTCAGTGACATGGGCCATGATGCTGGGTACTCTGTAAAAAGGAACTGCATCATCAGCATAGTTGAGATCAGTAAACAGTTTGTCCCCAGCAACCCTTAATCAATCTTTTGTCCTTTTTGTATCTAATAGATTTGCCAATTTCTGAGTAAAGGTTTGGGTTAGCTTCATTTCTCAAGTTTAGAATACTGTGAGAATGGGCCTGCCACTTTCTCTTAGCTAACTGGAACCTCGCTCAGCCAGTTTCTTGTTCAGTGTTCTTGACTAATTTTCAGAGGGGGGCCACTTTCGCCGATAAGACATCATCAGTGTGAGGGCCGTCACATATTTGAAACCATTGGGTTTGACAGAACAATGGTGGGAGGTGTTTTCACAATTGTGTAATGTCGGGGGCCGCACGACAGGGGGCGCACTAAAGGCCACCAGGGGTGCTAGTGGCCGGCGGGCCTTGCAATGAAGAACACTGATATAGGGCGATCTGGACTGGCTATCCAGCACAGTAGTCGCATCTGCACGTGTCAGAGTCCCAAACCTCACCCATCTCCCATCGGCATCAGGAGAGGGGAATTATGTCATTCCTAAATGTAAACAATGCTCGTATTCTCGATATCAATGTTAACTGGACAGAGCCCAAATAATTATGGGTTTGATGGTCAAGAGAATTCATAATTAGTCTTTTTTCAATTCTTACGTTTAAAATTTATTTTTCAAGTCGAATAATTGTATTGTTTAAGTAATACATTATTTTACTCATTTTCCTTCAGGGTAATATAACGAAATGAGACTGGAAAATGTCGGCATACCGTACAGACAAGACAGTACAAGCAAGGCAGTACAATACAAGACAGTACAAACGATACACTGTGCGAAGCAGACAGTATATTTAGACAGTAGAAACGAGGCTTAACAGGCAAGACAAAAATATATTGAATTGATATTGAATCACGATAATACATAGAATCGCATGGGGTTTGGATTAGAGTGAATCGTTACCTATATTATTGATGAGTCATTGTTGAATACACACGTAGCTGTGCCCTGACTCTTGTTCTACTTTAATTTCATGTTAAGGTTAAGCATAATGAATGTGAAGATAAAGGACAATACAGATCAGTGAAAGGGTTTTGCTGCCACCTCTGTCCTGCAGGTAACGAAGCAAAGCAGTAACACATTGTGATTAACAATGCATCCACTGCCCTATGTGGTCAAATGTTAGTTTGTAGAGTGTGTGTTTTTCATGTAGACAATTTAAGCGATTGATGATTGTATTTGCAAAGAATACCACACGTTAAATTACGGCAATGCTTGCAACAGAGCGTAAATATAGCTGGGAAGGCCAAAGTTGATCACCATCACCAATGGGCGAGGTTATATTGAATCAGCTGTTCAGTACTCAGCTGTGTGCTAATGCCCATAGAGAGTTTTTGGCTGCTATACATTTCCGTAATTTGTGGTCAGGTCGCTTCTGAAAAATATCTCAGTGGGCCTTACCTAGTAAAAAGATACAAATATCTGACATGCCTTTATTCTTTGCTCAAATTAAATACTCTGTGGCATCATTTATTACAGAAGACCATAGCATAACATTAAAAGGCATTATAAATACATGTTTTGTAATTAATATTATGCTTTGTATAAACAATGTCATCAATTAGAAATGCATACAGATTGAAGAACGTGTTTGAAATAAAAGGTATTGAGGTTTCGATTTAAAGCTTTCGTGACTACAGGGATTTATCTTCTTGGTTCTTTCGGTAAAGTCACGTAGAAGGGAAATAATAAAATAATTCTCACGACGTTTCGGCCACAACGCAAGCAGCCGTCCTCAGGTGAAGAACAGGTCTATTGGAAATACGTCTGAAAGACAGCGTCTGAATGACGCTGTCTTTCCGGCAGACCTGTTCTTCACCTGAGGACGGCTGCTTGCGTTGTGGCCGAAACGTCGTGAGAATTGTATTTTATTGTTTTATTTTTATTATTTTATTATTTCCCTTTTACGTGACTTTACCGAAAGAACCAAGAAGAGGTATTGAGATGTAATATTTAATCAAACGTTATTTTCTGACCCCATAATTATTTGAACTTGTCCATTTTACAGGAAATAAGTGGCTTGATGACTGCATTTCCGATGACGGCCAATCTTTCTGCAAATCTTGCATGCCAGGGAAGAGCTACATGGACGTTGCAAACCGTGATCCTCAATGCAAAAAGTGCAGCACTTGCAATATTCTCTGTAAGAGTTCCACATCAGTAGGTTTTCTGTGTATATAGATGTCATCCGAGTGTGGAGATGCATGCATCAAAGGTTAATAAATCACTCTATGTTAAATACAACATAACTAAATCGATGAGAAAGTGTGTTGAATCACCTTGCAATTCGTGAGAAAGTGGGTTGTGGTGGAAAAACATTGTAATACGAATATAAAGGTCTATGAAATCCGAGGTTGGTTGAAACCATGTTGCCTGATAGGCTGCACCCAAGATTCCATCTTTGGATGGACCATAGATGACAAGGGTCGATTCATGAGAAAGGTGGGCTGAGCAAAAACAATCTCAGGTTATTTCATGGAGTCAGCACTCCAAGTGGGACTCGCTTTACTCCACAAGAGGCTGTGGGCTCTAATCCTGGAGCTGATCTTTTACCTCAACTTGAGCAGGGTGGTATCCACCTTGTTGCTACATATCATGAAATTAAAGAGAAATGTTCTCCATCTTAAATAGTTAAAAAATAATGGCTGTCAAGATATTGAGCTGCTTGAATGAAGAGGACTGATGATCGCACAGGCAATTGCAGCTGGCACTCCCCAGTTGCACGGCGGGCCAGCATGACGACAAGGTGGCCTGTCGAGTTTTACACCAATTGGCTCCAGAAGTTGCATCAATTGAAAAGGCACATGCACAAAGTGGAAATGTATCATACGTTGGTAATGTAGGATGGTCTGAGAACAGGAAAATTCTTAAATAATACGAAAAGCTAACAGGTCCCTGCGGGGTGGGCTGGTAGGAACGAATAACCAAAGAATATAAACATAATGTATTATTACACTTGTTTAGCCAGGAAAGCGTCACTGAGTCTAAAGGTTTTTGTAGGGTCCTGCCAAGTGTTTGCAGTAGGGGGCGATGTTGCTACACCTAATCGGACGATACGAAGGGAGAGTTTGAGGCCTAGTTCTAGGCTTTAGGCCTAGCTGTAGGCTTTAGGCCGCTGTGAGTTATTTTTTATTTCAAAGTTTTAATTAAAAGCTATCTCAGGGAATTATAAGGGAATGTTACACTTGTTTAGCCAGGAAAGCCTCACTGAGTCTAAAGGTTTTTGTAGGGTCATGCCAAGTGTTTTCAGTAGGGGGCGATGTTGCTACACGTAATCGGACATCGGACGGACGATATTATTTTTTAATTTCAAAGTTTTAATTAAAAGCTATCTCAGGGAATTATAAGGGAATGTTACACTTGTTTAGCCAGGAAAGCCTCATTAATTTAAATGTTTAATTAAAAGCTATCTGAGGGAATTATAAGGGAATGTTACACTTGTTTAGCCAGGAAAGCCTCACTGAGTCTAAAGGTTTTTGTAGGGTCATGCCAAGTGTTTTCAGTAGGGGGCGATGTTGCTACACGTAATCGGACATCGGACGGACGGACGATATAATCTATTGTAGGCTGGTTCACTTCGTTCCTACCAGTATAATTCAACCATTAAAAGGGGATGAACACACGCAAAGGAACCTTGACAGAGAAATCATACATAGATGACGTCACTGTAAGCTCTAGCACTTCCTATTTTAGAGTTTAGATTAATATGTTCTGGTTATTCACAACTCACCTAAAATGTCCACAATTACACAGTCAATAGGATCCATAGCAGCATCAACTAAGCCACTATTCTCCATTAAAACAATGAAATGCTGGCAGATTACAGGCCATATCACCCAGATACAAATGTTTTTAAATTCTTATTTTCTTATACACATGTTGTGCAGTAAGACCACGCGGAGACGGGATTTACTATAAGGGCTGCTGCCATGTATTAACACTGTAGCACACAACACTCTAAACTCACACCAGAGGTAAGTGTTCTCTATTCTTGATCCTTGCTCTGGACCCCCGAACACTAAATTGTCCTACCCTCGGCTATCCCTTTGGACTCTCTCGTCTGGCCGGAGCGGGGGTTCATCCAACACCGCCCTGCGACAAGGAGAGAGAAACCCTCTCAGCCGATCTTTACTAAATACTCGGAGCCATGTTCTTGACTGTTCCCTTGGCTCTCCCACTCGTCTGCTCGGGACAGGGGTTCAGCCAACACCGCCCGGTGATGAGGAGGGAGAGACTTCTTCCAGCCGATCCTTTCCCTGACTCCCCACAACGACCCTGCCTTCGTCACGGGGTCCCCCTTAAGTACTCCTTTGGCGGCTCCTCCCCCTAGCTCAGACCCGCCTTTGTTCCCGAAGGTATCCCCTTATAGCACCCGTGATAGCACCCGTGACATGATGTCATCCTCGGCTGTCAAATCGCTCGCACCTCCCTCTGTTCTCCCCTTCATGGTTGCTCACACTACTCCTCTCCATCACCCCCCCCCCCCCCATGAAAAAATTCAGCCGTCCCGGCTGCTAACTATACTGGAACCAACCCGCATTGGGGCCTATGGCAAACAGCCAGAAAACCATCAACAAGAACAATTGTAACAACAACATAACAATATCAACAACAACAATATCAATGGAGGTGTGAAGGCAGCCGTCTGCGGGGGGGACAACACGGGTGTTAAGGCAGAACGGCAAGTGCAAGAAAGGCCTTCATCTCTCAGTCCAAGGTGCCGACCACAACGTCGGCGATGGCTGGCGTTTGACAACAACGGGCTCAGAAGAAGGTGCTCAACGGAAAAGAGCTACTCTGGACCGTGTATGTCCCGCCGGTCCGCTCCCACGGGCAGCATCCATGAGCGGGCGGTGTGTCCGCTGATGTCGGGTTCATTCCCGACGGGGAAGCAGGAAACTCCACGGGAACTACTCGGAGTGGTTCTGTGGGTGGACAAACAGAAATTATGCTGCACCCCGTTCCGGCCGCGATGACCCGGTTCGTTGGACGCGTCAGACACCGGCCGTTCCGGAGATGGGGATGAATCTACGGGACAAGGCAAAACATCTTTTCAACCTAGATGGATGCACGATCCAGTGACGGCGACCGAACTGGATGCGCACGCACTGTGGCCGGCGAACCACCACGACCTCAATGGGACCCTGCCAAGGGCAATGTAATTTCGGAGACGTCCCAATGGGCACCTGGGGGCAATGTAGCCATGCTTTGTCCCCCTTCCTCCATGGAAGCCCGGATCCCTGGTGTTTTTGTCGGTTGGCCGAATTATCCACGGCAGCTTCCCGTGCTTCACGCAGCCTGTCAAGCATGACCCTCATCGAAGCGGGCATGACGGATCCCATCTTAGACGAGCTCAGGCCCATTTGCACATGCCTTGGGGGTTCTGGCTCTCTCTCGTACATCAGATAAAAGGGTGAAAAACCCATTGAGGAGTGAGGGGCCAACCTGTACGCGGCCAGGATGCCCGGAAAAAACAGGTCCCAGTCCGACTGAGACACGTTCACTTCGTGGCACAGCATGGATGTGAGGGTGTGATTTAACCACTCCAACATCCCATCTTTTTGAGGGTGTAGGGCGAGGTACGGATTTTATTCATGCCAAGTAGGTCACAGACCTCCTTTAGCAGTTCGGGAAGAAAAATTCCGACCCTGGTCGGTTAGACGCTGCTCAGGGGCACCCTTATCTAAAACATGCCCATGCAAAAAGGCATTGGTGATTGACGAGGCCGACTGATCTTGCAAGGGCCACGCCATGGGCCAATGTGTGAGGTATTTGACTCGAACCAAAAGATACTTGTGGCCCCGTTGGGAAGTTGGAAATGGGCCTAAAATGTCGAGGGCTTCAAGTTCATTTACACGAGAAACCTGAATAGACTGCAGCGGGGGCCGATCACGCACAACTGGAGGCTTCCACCATGCACAATAATTAGCGCCACGTCGCTTTCCATGCCAGTAATAATCCCGCTTGATGGTCAACAAGGTCTTGTGGGTATCAAGGTGCATCAATTTCTCGAGAGGTATCCTCCATCTGTAAGCGAGACCATTCATCCTGAGGTAGACTTAGGCCAAAATCCGCAGGCAGCGACGCACCCGGAAGAGGAGCTGCATCAGCTGTTGCCACAAATTGGGGCCCGGGGTCAATTGGGGCCTTGCAATGACACGAGCCAGTCATGCATGCACACCTGCTCTCCTGTGGCAATCTAGACAAAGCGTCCGCATTTCCATGCTGTGCCCCCTTCCTGTGAATGACGTCGAATGCATACTCCTGCAGCACCTCAAGCCAGCCGAACAGCTGACCTGAGGGTTGGTCTATGTGTAGCGTCAGAAATGCACATCTTATACTGTTGGTATATACTAACCTGCAATTGCGGGCACAGGCCCATAGGGGGTACCACCCTGAGCTGGGGAAGGACAGAGAGAGCCGGACCATTGAGGGGCCGGGTTCTCCCCCCCCCAGACCCCAGGTAAGGGGTTGGGGGGTTCTTCCAGAACCCCCTTGAAGGTTCCAGAAAGGGGGCAGTACCGGGGGCGGTGAGCCCCCGAGAGGTGTATAAAAGGGGCACCTCTGGGACAGCTCGGGGCAGTGCTCGGAAGACGAAGAACAGAAGACCAGCCTAGCTAGGACCCTGGGACCCCGGGACCCGACGTCCTTGTAAGGGCCCAGGCCGAGCGCGGACCAGTGGTCAGGACCCATACCTTGGCTAGGTCGGGTCAGTTAGCCTCCCCTAGGGCACAAATAGCCGGAGGGCTGGGAGCTAGCTTTACTCCGTGTGAGGGCACGCTAGCCCGGAGGCTGTACCTCCCTAGATAGTGAGAGTTAAGGGGAGTTCTGTTTGTTTTTTGTAACTACAAATAAATTATGTTACCTCTAAAGACAACGTCTCCAGTCTCCGTGGATCCCACTACATATGTGCAGGGAGTATTGCAAGGCGGCATGATCCATCTGAACAGTGAACCGCCTGCCATACAAATGGGGCCTGTACAGTTGTATAAAGTACACAATGGCCAGCAGCTCCCTACGGGTCACGCAATAGCGTTGCTCAGCGGAGGACAACATGCGACTGCCATATGCAACAACCCTCTTGGCACCGTCGACCACCTGGGAGAGCAGAGCCCCTATGCCTGTGTCACTGGCATCTGTGTCTAACACGAAGGGCAGCGAGAAGTCGGGGTAACCCAGGGGGGGCGCATCAGCCAGGGACTCCCGAAGCGCGACAAACGCTTCCTCTTCTTTGTTGTGCAGTAAGACCACATGGAGATAGAATTTACTATAAGGGTTGTTGCCGTTTATTAACACTGTTGCACACAACACTCTAAACTCACACCAGAGGTAGGTGCTCTCTATTCTTGATCCTTTCCCTGGACCCCTGAACACTATATTCTCCTACCCTCGGCTATCCCTTGGGGCTCTCTCACTCGCCTGGCTGGAGTGGGGGTTCATACAACACCGCCCGGCGACCAGGAGGGAGAGACCTCTTCCAGCCGATCCTTGCCCCGGCTCCCCACAACGACCCTGCCTTCGTCACGGGATCCCCCTTAAGTACCCATTTGGCGGCTCCTCCTTACAAAATTGTAATATACACTATGCTAAAATTATAGCTACTTGGGACAATGCCAAGACCAACATTTCGTACATTAAACAAACAGTACAGTACTGAAATTAAAGTTTCCTTTTGTTCTCTGATGTGTAGATGAAGATGTTCAACGGTACTGTACTGTCACTTGTGACACTGTGTGTCAGTGTAAGGATGGATACAGTCGGCCTCATCCTTTACAGCCTTGTGGAGTTACATCAAACACAGGTGAGAAATGTCCTGTTTATTTCTATAGCCTCTGTTACCAACATATGCAATTAAGAACGATTGGCATCAGGAAATACACCAACTTGCAATCGGTAATGAATTTACACATTTTGGACGTCATTGATATATTGTCAGTAGGGCTGTTTCGAAGATCCCACTGGAGTTAAAATCAGGTTCTTCTGTGTGGTACATTTTTGCACAATTGTAAAAAAAATATGTAATTTTTTGTGGCTTGTGTAATAAAAAAAACATAATTGTTACGTACAGTACACATGTTTTTGTCAATCCACTGCTGGATGAGGTCCTGTAATTTTGATATCAGGGCTCTGACACATTCGACCACTTTTGAGTCATGACATAGCTAACACGGTGGTGTGTAGCTTAGTGTCGACAAGGCTCGAATATTGCAACTCACAACTCTACGGGACGTCTCGCAAAAACATTACCAAGCTGCAGCGTGTACAAAATTATTTGGCACGTCGTGACGGGTACTGCAAGATCCGACCTTGTTCGTGCAGTGCTTGCCAAGCTGCATATGCTTCCAGTTGCCAAACGAATACATTATAAGGTCGCACTCATTACACATAAAGTGCTTGCCACAAATTATCCACAATACCTTACTGATCTCCCATGAGCATAAATCATCACACAAACTCCAGTCATCATCACAGTGGCTTTTTTGGCTAACCATCAACAAAGACGGTCACTGTATCGTGTGCTCTCAGATGTGCTTCTGCATCTGTCTGGAACGCTCTTCCTTTCGATCTATGCACGTTAAAATCTAGATACAAAACTAATTTATTTAGAACTGGTTTTGTGTTGTTTGTTGTCCTTCGCCCACACCTCCGATTAGCACGGTTGGCTACATACAGTGCGAAAAAAGTTCAACATACATTTATACATGTGGATTGTGGGTGTTATTTTACAAAACTGTACCACACTGGTTAGTGGGGGTTGCTGAAGAGGGGTTGCATAGATTCATAGGACAACGAATCTTGCTACATTGTCCCCTGTTGCCCACCACAGTATGTTAAAATGATATCTATACTTTGATCCATCAGGCTTCATCGTGCATGTTTACTTCATTAAGCAGATCCCTACAGCAAAGCAAATTTAGTGTGGCACTAACCAGTCGTCACGATGTTTGTGGCTAGCTCTTGCCTACAACATCTTGCTAACATTTGTATAATTGGCCACAATGCTGATGAGACATTGCCAGTATAAATCATCCCCAAGTTTGCGCACTTAAATGCATGTTACTAGGCAACATTGCTCCCGAATTAAAATTGTTTGATGCACTGATATAAAAGCATAGGCACTGGTGTCGATGTAACATTATTTCAGAGGGTGATATGCAATAGTATTGGCATTTAATTGTATATGTCAATAAATATACATGCTGAATGTTTATCCTCTGCCATTTGCTGCCTGCAGAAAAAAACATTGCAATTCCTACTGGAATTGGGACCTTCACGCTTCTGGTGGCGGTGGTGGCCTTATTGATTTATCGGAAGAAGAAATGCTTATACCCCTTTGGTAAGAAACATTACAGCATTTTACGTCATTTGCATTGTTTAATAATGAGACCAATGCTTCCACGAGTGGCCCAGCTGTGATTCATGAGACAACAAATCAGGGCTGTAGATTAATTGGAAGACTTCCCATTGCACATCACAAAAACTTGAAGGGAAATGGGCAATGTCCAAGATAAGACTGCAATAATCCTGCTTATTACAATGTTATTGAGCAGCATTTGAATCATGCAAAATATTAACTTAAGATTCTAGTCAACAATTACACTGTCTAACAATTTTTTTTGTTCCTTGGTAGTAAGTGTTATTTCCTAATTGCTTATGCCTCAAAAGTACAAAAAATGGCTATTATTCTCCACAAACTTTGGTTTTGTGACCAGGACAGTGATATTTTGAAATTTACTCATTTTCCAGAACATTCTTGATAGATTCAGTGCTGAATAAACTTGGAGTAACTTCTAGAACATTCTAGAACTTTCCAGTAATATAAATAGTAGTATAAATACAGGGGCCTGAAGACCACCAGTTCAGTTTAGTTCCAGCTGCCTAAGTAGATACATATCTGCATTTTTCTGAGATGGCATCAAGAAGCTGCAAGCATCCAGCAGACGCATTTTGCTATGTCTGCGGCCAACTTATCAAGATAAGAACGAAAAGGTACTCTGTGGAAGCATCTGCTAAGATGTGTGAGGCGTACAAGGCATATTTTGGCATGCTTGTGGGGGATCAAGACAAACCCTGGGCACCTCATTTCACCTGCGAGCATTGCAAAAAACTCTGGAAGATAAGATGGACAATTGTTGCTGGGAATTTTATGTCATATCAATTGTAAAAGAAAAAATATATCATATATGAAAAATGTTGCGAGAATCTCTTACACATTAGTCATGGGTGAAATCCACTGACCACTCAAGCAACTGCTACTTCGGCATGGTGGACCCTTCCAAACGTCGGACTGGCAAGAATGCACCTGTTATCACGCATCCGGACCTTCCTTCATCCATCGCCTCGGTTCCACACTGCCATGAGCTCCCTGTACCCACTCCTCCGGAGAGAGAGCAGCCGACTTTAGAAGAGAGCAGCAAGTCAGAGAGCGAGGAAGACGTAGATCCAGATGACAATTTCAGAGGTGGAGCTGAGGAGAGAAACCCATACTACCCCAACCAAAAAGACCTCAACGACTTGATCAGAGATCTTTGTCTCACCAAGTCCAATACCGAGCTTATGACGTCTAGGCTCAAGCAGTGGGACTTGTTGGATGAAAGTGTGCAAGTCTCAGAACAACATCAAGTGGGAGCCACTGGTGAACCCCCGGAAGGTGCTGATGCCACCACTGCACATCAAATTGGGCCTTATGAAACAATTTGTCAGAGCTGTAGATAAGGAGTTGGCAGCCTTCAAGTACCTTCAAGGTCAAAACCGGTGTCTTCGTCGGACCACAAATAAAGACGATCCTGGAGTGCAATGAATTCCCCAATAAGCTCACTAGTCAGGAGCAAAAGCGGCTTGGAACAGCTTTGTCGTAGTGGTTCGTGGCTTGCTGGGCAATCACAAGGTCGAAAACTATGTGGAGCTGAATTTCGATTTAAAGCTTTCGTGACTGCAGGGATTCATCTTCTTGGTTCTTTCAGTAATGTCACGTAGAAGGGAAATAATAAAATAATCAAAATAAAACATAATTAAACAATAATTCTCACGACGTTTTGGCCACAACGCAAGCAGCCGTCCTCAGGTGAAGACCAGGTCTGTCTGACTCATTCAGACACTGTCTCCCCGACAGACCTGGTCTTCACCTGAGGACAGCTGCTTGCGTATGTGGAGCTGGTTTAGACTGGTGAAGAGCTACGGCACAATGGGCTGTAGGATGTCCCTCAAAGTCCATATCCTTGATGCTCATCTTGTTAAATTCAAGGAGAACATGGGAGCGTACTCGGAGGAGCAAGGCGAGCGCTTCCACCAAGACATACTGGACTTTGAACGCCGCTAACAAGGACAGCATAATGAGAACATGATGGGAGACTAAATTTGGGGGCCGATTCGTGAAAGATATTTACAGTACAATCATAAATCTCGAAAAACTACTCACTTCTAAATCTTTTGTAGTGATTGTTGTCTTACTTTAGTATAAATACATGTAATTTTGTTTCATATGGTTTTTTCTGACTTTATGTGAACGAAAAGACACAAATTAGCCCGTATTCTCATTGAAAATAGGTACATTTCTAAATATCACTGTCCGGGTCACAAAAGCAAAGATTGTGGGGAATAATACCCATTTTCTATACTTTTTAGGCATAAGCAATTACGAAATAACACTTACTACCCAGGAACAAAAATTGTGTTACATAGTGTTATGAATGGGATGCATCTCCACATAGACACCACTATGTTTGTATAATAATTGTATTGTGTTGATTAGTTTCAATTTTTTCCTTGTTTGTGCTTCACAAGACTCTTCAACGTGTAGTGCTGAACTTTACGTGGACAACTTCCTTTTCTGTCGTCACTTTATTTTATCCAACTCAGCGCATTTTTCCGCCACTCCCCGGCGCGTTCTCCGCTCGCTCGCTGCCCTCCGCCGGCCTCGCTCGCCCCGTTCCTCCCCCTCTCTCTCCGTCTCTCCCGACTCTCCTCTCTGCTTCTCCATCCCACTCCAGCCGTCTCTCTCTCTCGGCTCCTCCGTCTCACTCCAGCCGTCGCTCTCTCTCGGCTTCTCCGTCTCACTCCGACTGTCTCTCTCGTTCCCGTTCCACCGCTACCCTATTCTACCTCTCATATCTTCCTCGTCTCCGTCTCTACTGCTACCCTATACTTCTTCTTCCACTCCACTGCTACCCTATACTTCTCGTATCTTCTTCTTCTGCTCCGACCGTCTCCGTCCAGCTCCCAGCACAACTCCCTGTCTTACTCTGACGCTCCCGTATTTATCCCCGTCCCTATTAATTTCCAATTAATTAACTGGCGTCCCCCCAACGCCCCGCGCCCCCGGCCCCCGCCGCCACCTGTTCCCATTCCCAGACTTACAGGCGCCACCTTGTCCCTGACAACAACAACCGGCCAATCACTGCAATGCATCCATAATTGCCTAACGGGCCGTCTCCGTCTCACCCGTTGCCCCCAGCAACACCAGCATGTACCGATACGACTCCACTGTTCCCAACCCGCACGTGTTTACAATTACCCCCCTTGGCGCGCGTTAAACCACTACAAACATAACTAACTTCAACAAAATGTCACTAGACATCCACCTAAATATTTAAAAGACACAAAAACATCACGCAACTATACATGTGTAGAGTCTTCAAAAATTACTCACACTGACACGTTGTAAAAAGTCACCTGCTTACACTTTATTCACCTGTTCTTGCACCAGTTATAGGCACTCCTATAACTATCTGTACGGTCACTTATACTTAACTTCTCCCCACTCTTATCTATTCTGCACCTCACTTATCCTGCACTCAGCAGCTCTGCTCTCAGCGACTCCACACACAGCAGCTTCGCACCCAGCGACTCCGCACACAGTGACTTCACACTCAGCGACTCTGCACACAGCAGCTCTGCACTCAGCGACTCTGCACACAGCAACTTCGCATCTCCACCGCTGCCCTCACCTACACTCCCTCAGACCCGCTCATCCGTCTGTCCCGGGCAGGGGGTTCAGCCAACACCCGCCTGACGACGGCGTGAGGGTTGAGGTCCCATTGATGGCTGGAGTGGCAGCGGCGAGATGTCTTCATTCTTGGTTCCCGGCAACAACTCCCCTCGCTCAAACACACTCCCGCTTATATCCCCCTGCTTATCTGGAGTCCTCATGTGCTTCCACTTAAGCTGCCGCCAGACCAGCGCCAGTTGTACTATTAATCTCTTATCATCACCCCCCATCTCCCATAGGCGCCAACCTCTGGTCACAGTGTAGAAAAGCTCCCACGGACGCACTCGGAGACGGAGGTAAGTTATGGGCTTTCGCCAGGGTTTATTAAAGCTGTTACAATAATACACAGGGTACACAACTCCCAGGGGCTAGGGGTCCTACTCTGAGTCCGGGTCCCTGCCGGCTAGCTCCGGTCTCTCTCTCTCTCGTGTCGGATCGTGGACTCTGCCGACTCCACCAACCGGAGAGAGAGCACCTCTATCGGCTACCACCGACTTCTCCCCTGACTCACTATTCGATCCCTTTCTCTACCCCTCGTTCCCTCTTCACCCTTCTTACTCTACCCGTTCCCACAGTGACCCCGCTTACGTCACGGGGTCCCCCTTAAGTACCCTCTAGGAGACGTGACGTCATCACATTGAACGGCACACCTGACGTCACGTCCCCATTTTACTCCTCTACATTACCCCCCCCCCCTGTGAAAAAAATTCAGCCGACTCGGCTGTAAACAATATAAAGTAGAGGAGTCCCAGAACCACAAACCAACATATTCACAACCAACTACAAACACCCAAGCAGCATGACAACAATCAATCAATTTCAAAACCTTTAAACCCTCATCACGCGCTGCCATCAATACAAAGGCGGAATCCTGACGGCCCAGACAACACACACCAACAAACAACAATTGAGCAGCCCAGACAAACCACACCAAAACCGACAATTGGGCAGTCTAGACAAAACACACCAACAGAACACAATTTGGCGATGAGGGCTTGAGGCCGACGGCAGCGGTCCCACAGGTCATCAACAGAGCGCACGCCTCCCCATGTGGCACGAATCGCCAGGGCAGGCACCGCGCCAGCTGGTCACAGGCCCCGGGAGAGCTGCAGCAGCCCAGCAGCCCAACAATGCTCCTGCCAGGCGCGCCGGCCCGAGCGGCGGCTCCTGCTGCGACCGAATTGGATGCGCACGCACTGTGGCCGGCGGACCTCCACGACCTCAACGGGACCCTGCCAAGGGCGATGTAATTTTGGGGACGTCCCAATGGGCATACGGGGGCAATGTAGCCACGCTTTGCCCCCTTCCTCCACAGAAGCCCGAAACCCTGGTGTTTCTGCAAGTGCTCGTTAGCCGCTTGTTGGTTGACCGAATTGTCCATCGCAGCTTCCTGTGCTTCACGCAATCTGTCGAGATTGACCTTCATCGAAGCTGGCACCGCAGATCCCTTTTTAGGCGAGCCCAGGCCCATTTGCACGTGCATCGGGGGTTCGGTCTCCCTCCCGTACATCAAATAGAAGGATGAAAAACCCATTGAGGCATGAGGGGCCAACCTATACGCGGCGAGGATGTCCGGAATAAACAGGTCCTAGTCCGCCTGGGTTGCGTTCACTTGGTGGCACAGCATAGACGTGAGGATACGATTCAAACGCTCCACCATCCCATCGGTTTGCGGGTGGTAGGGCGAGGTACTGATTTTCTCTGTACCAAGGAGGTCATAGACCTCCCTGAGCAGTCGAGAAGAAAAATTCTTACCCTGTTCGGTCAGAAGCTACTCAGGTGCACCCTTATATAAAACGTAGCCGTGCAAAAAGGCATCGGTGATGGACGAGGCTGACTGATCTTGGACCAGCGTGTGAGGTATTCGACCCCGACCAACAGATACTTGTGGCGGCTCAAAAATCGCGGCTATTTGGGCGTACGCCAGAGGGAGCGTCGCCCTATCCGAAGCCAAAATTGAATTGAAGGCGGTCAAGGAATCGTCATCTAATGCCGTCGGAAGTACCTTGAGTGCCTCATCCATAGGCCATCCGACCGAGGCGTAAGCCGCTTAGAACCGGCTCTGGAAAGACGTCCACCAATCGCACCCAGCTGCGTTGAATGAGCGAACAGGAGGTAGGCGCCGAAGTTTGAAGGAGCTGGAGTTGACGACTGGTGCGGGCGCTCCACAAGCAGCACTCGGCGGCGTCGCTGCGGTAGAGTCAATGGCGCCCGGTTGCTGCGTCGCACTTAAAATGGTGCCCGGTAGCTGCGTCGTACGTAAAATGGCGCCCGGTAGCTGCGTCACACTCGACGGCAAAATGGCACCCGGTTGCTGTGTCGCACCCGTTGAAAAGTTGGCGCCAAATTCAAACGTGGCGTGAAGCGCCCGTTTCCGCTCCAACACTGCGATGGGCATGCACGGCTGGGCTCCCGCCTCCGAGATGAGGGAGACGAGGCGCGCGACGAACTGCAGCAGTTGGCCGAGCTGGCTGGTGAGGAGCTTCCAGTTCTCCCCACAACGACCATGCCTTCACCGCCTTTGTTCCCGAAAGTACCTCTTACACCACGCGTGACGTCCTCTTTGGCTAACAACCCGCTTCGCACCTCCCTCTGTTTGCCCCCTTATGGTTGCTCACAATGCTCCTCTACACAAATAATACACTGTTTAACTGCATGACTGTACAGGTCATCATAAGTCGATGGGGATAACCTGTGAGCAGATAACAGTTACCATTATTTTCGTGCCCACAAACATCAGGATGTACAAGAACAATGTGCATGCATAATGTGAATTGCCATATGAATAATCCAACCATAATCCATTTATTACCCCCCCCCCCCCTCATGGACTTTGCACGTGAGTTGCTCACAAGTAACTGCATCACATCTATCCCTCTATTGAAGAACGAAACGGGATAATTTATTCACAAATCTGGCTATCGCTTGATGATGCTAGTTATCACTACTGAAGAAACGTCGTACTCGGATTGTAAATGTTGTGGATTTACTCTCCAACACACCTGTGTGCTGTACGAGTAACACATTGGCATGTTTTGTTTACCTAACAAGCCTTACTAATTGGCTGTGTCGGGTGGTGGCAGGCTTGATGGCACATTTATATTTACGCGATCAAATACAAAAATCTGTATTATGGATCCAAAGATCTGCAACACAATTAAGACCAGAATTCCATTTTCATGAAACAGTTGACACACATTACCTTGGAGATTTTTCATATTAGTAATAATGGTGCATTTAACACAAAATCAAACAAGAAAAAATGTTAGTCAAGATATCAGAAAAAGTATGTTTTAATAATAAGAACTTGCATCATGCACAACAGATGAATTAATGTAAAAAACAAAGTAATTGCTGTACAATTGATTCAGTAGATACAGTGATCCCTCGTTTATCGCGGTTAATGGGGACCGGAACTCCTCGCGATAGGTGAAAATCCGCGAAGTAGGATTGGCCCCCCTAGGAATTTCCGTAAATGTGTGTGTGGGTACCAGAATGTTTAAAATATGTATATTTATACTTTATATATATATTTTACTTAAATCTATTTAATTATAAAACCTTAATATTATACATTCACTGACTCATATATTTTACTTAAATCTATTTAATTATAAAACCTTAATATTATACATTCACTCTCTCTCTCTCTCATACAATACGTATTATGGTGTTCTACACTCACGAGTTAATTTCGAACACAACACTAAGATACGCGAGACACAGTTGACAGCGTGAACGAGAGTGGCGAGATACAACAAGGGAAGAAGCTTAGAGAAGATGCGATGATGCGCAGCCAATCAGCTCACGGGATACTGTACATCCACTCGTGCTCTCATTCGTCGATATCGCACCGGGAACTAATCACGTGCCTTGTCTGAGTGCCCGTGGGTATGTACAAAGCCTCTGAGAAAGTTTCTCTCTTTGTCTGGCATCCTGGGAAACCGTTTCTCTCGCGCATCACGATGAAACAACGCTGCTTTCCGCAATACGGCTGCCGATATGGCGGTATTTTTTTTTATTTTTCGATGAATATTTTTGAAAAATCCGCGATGCACTGAGGCCGCGAAACTTGAACTGCGAAGTGGCGAGGGATTACTGTATCTAATAACTGATAACACCATCCTATAAAATTACACCTGTACTGTCACTATGATCACGCAATATTTTTTACTCCACGTGTTGTAGTTTACTTACGAACTGAGCAGGTTCACTTTTAGACACTCCCATAATACCATAGTCATAACAGCATAAAGCATACATTGTGCTCCCAGGATCATTAGCAATGCTTTCAGTAGATGCTACAGAGTGGACATGTGTCATGTTGTCTTCTTGTACGGGAACAGATTATTCTGGCAAAGTGACAGAGACTGTGCCCCTTCTTCATTTGAAAGTGCCCAAGGATGTCCTTAAGGTAAGTCAAGCAGCATATGCTGGGGCCTGGCTCCCATCACAGGAACTCATGTACTCTTGTGGAGCCTCCCACTGTTTAATTGTGAATATAGACTCTCACAAAACTATCTTATCCCTACTTTTGGTGTGGTGGTGTGGGTTGTGGTTTGTTGTGGTGATTGGGTAGGGTGTTAGAATGGTTAGCCCAAGCTGGCCGAAGTATTTCCCATCATGTTTTTCAAGACTTCCCTGGGACTCTGTTGTCTGAATGTTGCCCTATTGTACTTGTGGTGGTCACTGTCATGTTCTTCTGCCATGGATATTTTGTATAATTTTCATAAATTTTTCTTACTCTGCATTTTGCTCTATTTTCACTGTTTTGTATTTCACTGTATTTTAAGTTGCTTTGAGATACTGTGGAATTGAAGCTATAAATACAGATAATCCTCATCCAATAGCACAATAGCAATGTATTGCCAATCGCAATATATTTTTCACTGTCTTAATAAATACATTTACTCATACAATAAAAGTAATCGCCATGATCTATTTACAATCGATTGACCAAAACCTATGTCACACATTTCAATCGCAGCTATAGCTGGAATTATGAATCAAATTGATCCATTAACTGTAATTTGTAATTGACTACTTTTTTGTGGTCAATTGCTCTGGCCATTGAAAAATGGCAGCTGCCCCGCTTACTGCCTCCCGAAGATAGAAACCAAGTATACATTCAATGTTGAGCCAACGTTGGCATGTGAATGGACCGTTAGACGAATGTTCCATGCTTACTGTAAATTTCCATACAAGCTCCACTCTGTGACGTGGCTGATGATGCAATGTACTTCACCAAGCTCCTACGTCACCTCCCATACAACAGAAAATATAGGACCAGAGGTGAGATGTGTGTTTTCCAACTTTTATTTGCGTAAGCCAATTCACGTAATCAATCCAATAACTGGCAGAGTACTAAATATAATATATTCCATGAAATAACTGGATATCTTAGCTCTAATCAGAATCACTATAAGTATGCATCTTGCTGTAGATACATACGTTAATACAGTATTGGCACTGGAGAACTGAAAATTATCAAAGGAAGATGTATAGTAAGCAGTGAAACTGTAAAATAATACCTTTGGAAAGTCAGTTGTCACCTTTATAACAATTGTGGGATCCTGCAAAAATAAAGCTCAATGCCTTGGTAGTCCTAAACCATTACAGGAAATTCCAGATTACAATGGCAGGGCCATTTATTCCTTTACAGACATGTAAGTGTTTCAATAATATGCACCAAAAATGTAACACTCTATTTTAGCAATTCTGGAGGAATGGTGTGGAATAATGCAAGAGTAAAATCTACAACCATAGAAATTCTATTAAACAATTCCCATTGTGGCTTCTTTCCCGTGTGGACAGAAACCACGAATGCTCATCAAGAAGAGAATGAAGTCCAATGATGGAGAAGTTTGGCGCCAGTTCCATGAGTTGTTGCCAGAAGTGTATAAATCCATCTCTGAAAATACCTTCTATTTCTTGTACGAGATGGATAAAAAATACAACATTCACATAAGCGTGTACTGGAACGTTTATGAAATTACTGACATCTCAGCACGTGCAAGCTATTTACTCAATTACTTTATTCGTGCGGGTGAGAAAGAGTGCCAGGGGCTCCTAGAGATGATCCTTGCAGGACAGAACAAGCAAATGCAGCTGCAGACCCTGCTTGACTTTGCCGGTATGTGGGATCTGATGAGTAACTGGGCCTCACTGTGGGACTTTTCTTAGTTAATCATGGATATCACTACTAAAGGCATAGATGTTGCTGATAGTTATCGTTTAAGTATGCATTACAGCTAAAATAAGTATAAACTAATAGTTTTTTATCTAAAAACTGAGGCAATTGTATTGTGAAGTACAAACATTAAGTAATTGTTTAAATTGCAATAATTTAACAATATCATCCATGCTTCCGTCTCATTTTGTTTTACTGAAAACTAGTTATACATCTTGGATTGATAAACTGAATTCTGGTTGTGAATGTCTGTTCTCATGTTTCACTGGTTTCTTTGCAGTTAAATGCTCTCCAACTCTTAATCGAAACACTGCACATAAAGAACTTAACATCTCAGAGGATGGTAAGACAGTGGAATGGCTCGAGAGCCCTCCAGATAAACCCGATCACCCAGATCGGTTCAAATGCTGGTCACAGGTGCTGTCCTCTGAGACTTTCTCTGGAGGATGCTTCTTCTGGGTGGTGAATGTGGGGGACGTGGAAAACCTTCGTGTTGGTGTCTCTTACCAGAGTATTCTACGTAAAGAACAAGACAGTGCATGCCTGATGGGATTTAACAGCAGGTCCTGGTGTTTATGGAAACGTAAGAACAAATACAAGGCCTGGCACGACCAGCATAGCACGGAGCTGGAAGTGGGTGAACATCCTCGCAGAATCGGTGTTGGTTTGGACTATGAGAAACGGGTTCTGTTATTTTACAATGCTGACAACAATGAGCATCTACACACATTTTATGCTCACTTCTCTGAACCCCTGCATGTTGCTCTGTGGGTGTGGCATGGGTTCCTCACTATTGAGCCTGTTAACAACGATTAAAATGGATATAGATTTAATAATTTATCCGTGTAAAATAATAAACAGGATCAAATTGCCATCCAAATTCTCTTAGGAAAGTCGTAGGAAGGTTTTAAGAAACTCTTTCCATTCACCATATTGTTTTCACTGCCATGTGCACTGATAATCTCTATATATAATTATTGGGAAGGAAATATCTTTCCAAAAGGATGCTTCTCCATAGTAATTTCATGTTCAGGAGTTTTAACAGCCAAACGTGACTTTTTTTTCAAATTCACTGTTTATCACAGATACCAATGTAACTCCACTGAACAAGTTGAGCTTTGCCAGCCAGGTTAATTATCTTTATAGGAAGGGTTACTATTTGCAACGTCTGAATGGCACAATGTTCTCTTGTAATTTCATCACATTAATTCGATGGAACTTTCCTTTGGGCTGTAAATTGCCTACGACATAGTCCATTCCTTTTCCACATATATGTGGATATTACAAATAGAAAGGTTTTGTATCCATCTACTGGTCCACCCACGCTCTTATAATCAGCAAAATCACGGATAACATAAACTTCCAATTTGAAGGTAAGAATGACAAATTGGTCTAACTCCATGGATAAGACAGTCACAAATCACAATAGATGTATAGTACTGTATTTCCACATTTTTGCTGAGTAGTTGGATAACTGTCATCACGTCCAATCTCTATCAAAAAATTTGTAATGTATATAAAATATCGTATAGTCCCATGGGATTGGCTATCAACAACAAGGCAACTCCTATGACTAATTGGGAATGGGACGCAAGCGTAGGATTGATCACCCTGTCGCTGGCCGCCTTTGGGGAGGGTGTATAGTGTGAAAGGCCGAAACACCCTAGGAACCAAAGGTACACTACTGACGATGCGCTCCCCAAATTTCACCAGGCTCACTGTTCATGAACTCTTGGAAGTGCTTGCACAAAGGATAGTAACATCTCATCCTGTGTTCTTGGAATCTGGCAATTGAGCAATATGTGTTACCAGGCTGTGATTCATACTTTTATATATGAAGAACGTTTAATGGGAAGTCAACCCCAGAAAAAAACAATAAACAGCAGTCTTGATTTGAAGCTTTCGTGACTGCAGGAATCCATACTCTTCGGTTCTTTTGCGAAAGTCACGTAGGTAGAAATAAAATAAATCACGACGTTTCGGAGGCAACACAAGCCTCGCTGAAAAACAGCAGTCTCTTGAGACCTGACTTCAGTCAAATGAAGTGATACAGACTTTGGCCACTAGAGAGCAGCAGTGACAGCAAGCACTCTGCGACCACTTGTTGACCCTGTCGGTACCATTGATGGCTGGAGTGATGTTGCCTTGACTAGAGATTGTTTATTGTGTTTTAAGTAAGAGGCCTCATAATAAATTCCCCCGAGAATTAGTTTGATACATGTCTGCTTTAAATCGCAGGTAAACTGGGTCTTTTTAGCCTAGTTATTGTTGGCCATAACGTCTGCGCGAAGCATGGGATTAATAATCTTGGGGTGGTATTTGATGCGTCTCTTTCCTTCGAAGCTCAAGTTAATAAGGTTGTGAAAACCTCGTTTTTTCACCTAAGAAACATTGCTCGACTGCGCAAAATCATTATATCGTGACTTAAAGTCTTCGTAACTGCAGGAATTCATATTTTTGGGTCTTTCGGTAAAGCACCGTAGATAGAAAAAATAATAAAATAGCAATATCACGACGTTTCGATCTCAACACAAGAAATCGTCTTATGGTGAAAAATATATCACCAAAAGATTATAATTATATCGGTTGATTCTGAGGTTGTTCCACGCACTTGTCCTCTCGCGAATCGATTACTGCAATGCCTTGCTTGTTGGTGTTTCAAATAAGGTCCTTGGGAGACTAGATGTTGTTCAGAATGCGGCAGTTAGAGTACTCACCCGAACCCCATTACGTGACCCCATTTCTCAAGTTGTCTTATCATTTACACAGGCTACCGGTCTTGAAACGAGTAGAATTTAAGTGCCTTCTACTAGTTTTAAAGCCTTGCATGCGCTGGCACCACCATATAATCACGAGCTAATTCATCCATACACCCCCTCAAGGTCGTTAATATCTGCAGACTCTGCCCTTCTGTGTATCCCTCGATACTGGCTGCGTTCCTGGGGTGAGCGGGCATTTGCAATGTCTGCGCCTCGGTTGTGGAATTCCCTCCCGTTCGAAATTCGTTTCGCCTACAATGCGGATACTTTTAAGTCACGTCTAAAAATTCATTTTCTTAAGTCTGTTTGATTTATTTAGCTCTCCTCACTTGACTTTCCTTAATCTTACAAGGCGATTTCACAAATTAGTGGAAGGCGCCTTACAAATGAATGCAAATTATCGGTTTTCATCGTAGTTTTGTGCTGTACGAATGAATTGTGGTGCAAGGGTCAGCCGAGTGGTTAATGGATGAACAGAAAAAACGTGATGGAGGGTGGATTGACACCGGTTGTTGCTGGGAATAAGTGTCCTCAGGTAGATCATCGTTATGAGAGTTAAAAGTGTTTTCCATCACGGTTAGAAGCTTAGAGCTAATTATTTTGCTGTATCCACCTTCCAGGGGTAGATATCCTATAATCAATTGTAATCCACAGCACAATAATCCAGAGAGCTCTGTCCTCGATAATTGTAAAGCACCACGAATATATGCAGTATGCACAATCTTTAATTCACTAATGTATTTACCAATACACGACTATTAAAGCAATTTACAATGTAAGTTAATATAAAATACCTAAACGTAATATTGAGAAATAAATCATTATAATACTGCAATATTCTGTATACGCAAATTGATGGATTGATGGTTGCCATAAATAAACACTGGCTCATGAATCTGCGTGTCTGTGTCATATTTTCATGTTAGCACAACCACTGCTTTCAACTCGTTTATACTGTAGTGTGTCTCACTGTAGCTATCACCCTGACTAGTGATTCCCGTTTTCCACACATTTTTGGCAATACCTTGATATGGGATTATATTTCTGATGTCGTTCATCCCTGCACTAGTGGTTAACGGACTTCGTGTGCCTTGGTACTTCACATTTTAGGCATATTTCCTGCCAGTGTTACGTGAATGGTGCATGACTTCAATGTTGTTTACCTTGAATGTATTTGCTACTCCGTCTGTGCAATGTTCATCTGCTGTATTTATTTTCTTATTCCACCAAGTTCCTTCACGGGTCATTCTTGTAAAGCAACTTACGCCTGAATGTTTCTTACTCGTATCAACAAATAAAATCGATCAAATGAAATCATCAATCACAAATCTTTTCCCGCACCTTCCTGTGCATTGTTAGTTAGTTTATCCTTCTAAGCCTTGGCTGCTGTCAGAAATGCTGTCGTCTGCACTCCCATGGTGTATGCACTCACGAACTGCGTTAACAGCTGTTTTATGTAGCCGCCTTTGCCAACAATCCTCTATGATCCGATTATTTGCACCTTCAAGGGACGGAGCATCCACACCTCCACGACCCACTGTCTCGTGTGCATCGGGATATTCAAACAAAAGTGGTCGATATTCGTCAAAAATGGGTTGCATATTGCCTTTAATGAAGAAGAGAATGATACCTATTGGGAATAGTTTGAGACTGAATACGCACACTTGAATACATCTGCAAGGGAAATACATTAAAACAATCCATATCACTTTGACTTCGTGGTTTTAAATGCAACTGGATATATTATAATTGAAAAAGTGTGATTGGAAAAGTGTGCAAATACAGTGTTAATCAGCCATTCCCCAATGAGGTGTTTTCCATTGACTGAGTTCACCTATTAGCACCCTCACTCCACCAAAAACTCTCTCAATGAGCTTCTCAACCCGTTTACACCGTACCCCCCCAAAAGTGACACATCCTCTCGATGTGTCTGCTTTTTGTAGAAGGGTGGTTGGCAGTGCGTCGCGCGCAAAGCCACACCAGGAGAGCCCAACAATAATCGGGGTGCAACGCATTTTATGGAACCCGATGGCCAAGGGGACAACCCACCACGTGTGACCCATGCAATAATGTAGGGAAAAGATATTAACGGTAAATTGCCACCGAGTCTGGAATTCGGTCCCATAATCCGATGGCATTCATTCTCTTTCCCCAAGCTAAATCCACGAGGCTAATCTACACATCTGTTTTGCCATGGTGCCTCAGGTGCCTTTGTGTTGCCTTTCACAACACCCTTATGAGTAAGATATGTGTGTGCTCTCTTCCCCATGCTTTGTAAATGTGGGCCCGTTTACGTCGATACCTGCACCAACTATCAACATTCAGGTTGGACTGTCGATGATGAACCCTGTGTTTAACCAGACTGGATTGTATGAAGAACTCTCGGATAACTTTCCAATTAGTGAGCTCCTCTGGAGGAAAATATGTACTGGCTCGGGCATTTAGCATGACCAGCCATTGCATGTTCAAATAACTTCTATTTTGCTAGAAAGAGTTGGATAAATTGGCATGGCACAGGCTAGAGAAGAAATGGGCTGATGTGCTACAGGAGAATTTGGAGCAGATTGCACTTGGTGATGACTGGCACCTGTGGTGTGAATATTGTGTGTATATATTTGTGTTTGAGTGCAGTCTGCATGAGTATGTGTAGTCTGTATGGGTGTTTGTGTAAAATTAATAAATCCCCACACATGCTCACTCTCCCCCAACTGCAGGTGAGGAACAACACACATACATGCAAAAAACAAACTCAGCAATTTGTTTATTATGCAAAAAAACATCAATAGTTCTTAAGTAAGGTGCATTGTGGTCGTCTTGTTCTCGGTCAGCAATTTGTTTAGTTTGCGTCTGGGAACCACATATCTAAAACCCATATTTTCTGAAAGTGCTGATGGTTTTTTGTATAAAGTACAAAAACTGGGCACTTTTTTACACGTTTTTGTGTTGCTGTTTTAAACGTATGGTTTCCCAGCCTGCACTAATTTTCTGTAATGTTTTTTAAAATAATTTACAGACTGATTGCGGGCGGGGAACTGAGTTTTTGTGTGGCAAATAGAGCTGTAGGTGGGACATCAACCATGACATTTCACGGGCAAATTCTCGTGCTGCATTCATTATTGTCAAGTTATACCATCTACTTCGTGCAGGCTGTAGCAACAGCACGAAGACTGGCAGACACAATTTAGTCCAAAAAGCAGGTTACGTAGATGATGCTCGCTCTCAATTATAATTTAAACAGAAATGTTCATGTAATAAACTCCTTTAAAACATTTTTTTTTAAGTTCCCCTGTTCAGTATTCATATGCCAAGTTAAAAGATTTGCCAAATATAATTGTCAGTCTCCAGCTCTCACCCCCTCTATCTCTCTGGCCGCTCTGAAGAAGGGTCATTTCCCTAAACGTGACCTATTTTACTGACACTGTATTTTCTTGTAAGACCACAGTGTTATTGATGCACATGTTGAGTTTTTGTTATGTATGTATACTGTTGATGTTTTTAAAAAGGGAAGTCATGCAAGACCTGCAAGGTATGCAGCCCACATTCTTGCACCAGCACGAAGATTAGCAGACAATTTAGTCCAAAAAGCAGGTTACGTAGATGATGCTCACTCTCAATTATAATTTAAACAGAAATGTTCATGTAATAAACAACGGTTTTAATCACAACTTCGTTTAACTCACGGTCGAGAAGTACATCAATGGCGCCTGAGACACGCGGCACCTGCGTTTTGTGCGAGCCGATTCCACAGTTTAGGGACCGCGGCGTTTTTGACCTACACAAATACAGTACAGTGGAACCTCTGGTCACAAACGCTTCTGACCACGACCAAATCGGGTTCCGACCAAAAAATTCACAACATTTTTGAGTCTGGTCACGAACACAAACTCGGGTGGCGATCAAACACGGCCGCGGCCGATTTGCCCTTCCGCGCCGTTTTTTTTTTGCAAGCGCCAAATTTTCTGTTCTTAGGGTTTTTCGGTAAAGTCACGTAGGTAAAAAAATAAAATTAATAAAAGTAAAATAAAAATAAAAAATCACGACGTTTCGGACGCAACACAAGCTTCCGTCTTCAGGTGGAACCGTCACAGCCCGACAGCTGTATCGGGCTGTGTCGGGCTGTGACGGTTCCACCTGAAGACGGAAGCTTGTGTTGCCTCCGAAACGTCGTGATTTTTATTTTACTTTTATTAATTTAAATTTTTTACCTACGTGACTTTACCGAAAACAGGTCCCTGCGGGGTGGGCTGGTAGGAACGAATAACCAAAGAATATAAACATAATGTATTGTTACACTTGTTTAGCCAGGAAAGCCTCACTGAGTGTAAAGGTTTTTGTAGGGTCCTGCCAAGTGTTTGCAGTAGGGGGCGATGTTGCTACACCTAATCGGACGATACAAAGGGAGAGTTTGAGGCCTATTTCTAGGCTTTAGGCCTAGCTGTAGGCTTTAGACCGCTGTGAGTTAATTTTGAATTTAAATGTTTTAATTATTAATGTAAAAGCTTTAAATGTAAATGTTTCTATTTAAAAACATCAGGGAATGTAACATTGTTAAACATTAACTCCCTTTCACACATGCGGGGGTACGATACGAAGGGAGAGTTTGAGGCCTAGTTCTAGGCTTTAGGCCTAGCTGTAGGCTTTAGGCCGCTGTGAGTTAATTTTTAATTTAAATGTTTTAATTAAAAGCTATCTCAGGGAATTATAAGGGAATGTTACACTTGTTTAGCCAGGAAAGCGTCACTGAGTCTAAAGGTTTTTGTAGGGTCCTGCCAAGTGTTTGCAGTAGGGGGCGATGTTGCTACACCTAATCGGACGGACGGACGGACGATACAATCTATTGTAGGCTGGTTCACTTCGTTCCTACCAGTAAAACCTAAGAATATGAATCCTTGCAGTCACGAAAGCTTCAAATCTAGAATAAATTTCCTGTTGTTTACAAACAACAGCAACCCACGTGTGGCCGCTTGCTCAGTCAGTCTCGCTTAGTAATCGGTCTCGGTAAGATATTAATTTTGTGAGTGTAGTTATTCCCCTCATTCAAGCTGTAATTTAGAGAGCGAAAGCGCTGAGTTCGTAAATCGCTAACATAAGAAACCGTTAATCACTTATCGCATCATTCATACGATGATATTACGGTGAAGGCTTCCCAAAACAATACTGTACCCAAATATTACTGTTAACTTACTTTCAATAGAAACATAAATTGCTCATACGAATATCCTCTCTCTCAGAATCGACCGACTGATGTAGCAGACGAAACAATTATCTTGTTGAACGATTCTAAACCTTGTTAGTTTTCTCTGTTGTTCAAGGTTTTCTCAGTGTTATTCAATGTTTTTACATTTAGTATAGTATTACACTGTGACTTCTATTGCATAATTAACTATTTTTGTGCTTAAAAATCTTTTAAAAAAACTATGTTTATATACAGTTCGTAGGAGTCTTGAACGGATTATTCGTATTTACATACAATCCAATGGAGAAATTAGGTTCGAGTCACGACCAAATCGGGTTGCGACCAAAGTTATGGAACGAATTATGGTCGTGACCAGAGGTTCTACTCTTTATGTAAATAATAAGGCATCAATACAAAATGTAAATTGCTTTAAAGTAGCGAATTAATTAACTGATGCCGACTTTGATACAGGCATGCATTGTCACCGGATGTGAGTACGTGTGCAAAATGTGGAATTGATTGGACAACGGGAAGTGGGCGAAATTTTGATTACAAGATTTGACCACGACAAACAGAGGAATCAACTTCTTGGTTCTTTCGGTAAAGTCACGTAGAAGGGAAGTAATAAAATAATAAAAATTAATAAAAATAAAACATAATAAGAGGAATCAAGTTAAGTAAAACCGTTGAGCTAATTTAAACAGAAATGTTCATGTAAA